CCCCGCGTGCAAAAAACCTTAAAACCTTAAAAAGTTTAATCTGGACCAGCCCTGGTAGAACGGTCTGCCAAAATGAAATGTAACCATAATTTAAATTAAATTTTGGGTGGCACTGGTGCATAAGTCCTTTAATTATTTGTTCTATAAATTGCACCAAAGAAACAGAACTGGACATTGACATTCAAGAAATACGTTTTTGTAAGTAATGTATTTTAGATATTTTGCTGCTTCCACGGGAAGAGCTTAAGAAAAAAAGCCTAATACTGATACCAAGGTACAGAAGCTAGTTTGTACTGTTTTTTAATTGTGAAAACTACAAAATTGAACCATTCTGGTACACACGAAGTGGTTGGGTAATTTTTGTAGCTAAAAGTGCATAACTATTTAAAATACCAAACAAATTAAATAATAACTAAATAATAAGCTGTTCAAAGCTAGATTCCTATTCCGTAAAGTTCCAATGTAAAAACTGTATGCCAGATTGTCCACCCAATCGGCCATATAAGGAGCAACATCCTAAGTGCCAAACCCACCCTCATTGTCTCACGTACTGTCCAACCCCCTGTATTTACGACGACCGCCCCGATTACTTCTAGTTGATCCTTCTACGTGACACACTCGAGCAATACATTCCCATAGGGGTTTAGGGTATTGGATTGGATGTATTGGATGAGCCGGGGTAAATCTCAATTTCCCTCGCCAGAGTATAAATAATAATTTATGTTCGAGTGACGATTTGGTCTTATTGAGATATCGTAAACAAAATAAGCAGATAAATATACCGGATGCTTTTAAGGAAACTATATCTTCTATCCAATCGGCACGAATGCGATAATTAGTCATTCCTTTGTTTTATTGGCATAACTAACAACACATAAACGACAACAAAAAAAGCAGATGCAAAATTTTATATATCCCAGAAAAAGCTGCCTGCTATACATAAATTTGTTCAAAAATTGAAAGATATGAAAACATTTGCACAAAAAATTGTCAGAATTGACTGTGTCATTCTCTATTTCAGGTTAAGTGACTAATATATCGAAACAATATGGAATTTGAACAAAAAATTAATTGGAAAAATATTGCCTGTAAAAGTAAGTTTATACTATTAAAAGAACCAGAATTTAAATCCTCTTTGAAATGCGCTGTCATTGGCTGTGACTGGTGGGGACGTCAGTTTGCCCGGAAGATTACGCGCCAGCCGGACGGTACCATAGAGAAGCCATTAGAGAACGACAACACGTTTTTAAAATTCAAATCGTATATCAAGTGAAATGTAAATTTTTCAACAAAAAGGATATTTTTGAAAGTGGTGGAAATCTAAATACTAATTTTAAAGTATATTGGCATTGATAACTTAAAGTGTTCTTTATTTTATACACATGAATAAGCCATTCCTATAGAGACTGCAAGTTCTAAAATGTTTACACTGTTAAGGCTGAAGTAACACCTGAACATGATGTTAACAATAAACAATGGCTTTAAAAATAAAAAGTTTATCTGACTTTTCACAGGTTCTAGTCAAACACGTTGTGTTGCTTCCATTATTATCATGTAAAGCACACTAAGCGCAACTACAAACTGACGTACATTAAATACAGCTTTACGCCAGCCAAAAATAGACTTATATCATATAATATAATTCCCGGCCTATAACGTGGCCATATCGATCGAAAAGCAGCGGTATGACGTCACGATCATTCCCTCGCGTTTTAAAAGGAATAGCAGGGTGTCACAACTTGAATTATTTATTGCAACTTAAAAATTGGGTTTTGAGTTTTGATATTTGGTATGCGTTATTTCTATACGCAAACAAATGTCTATCAGTATAGGGTATTTTCTAATCGAATGTCAATAATTAAGCGAGGGCTTGTGGGTCCATGTTAAAAAGAAAACTATATATGTCCTAAACGTCTTAACTTTCGCGATACAGGGTGGTAAAGTTTTCAAAAATGAAATATATTTTTTTAATATCTTTAATGCCGCTTTAGATATTTTAATGAAATTTGCACAAATGTACTATATATAAAGAGGCATTATTTAGTGCACCACATTTTTTTTTTAAATACAACAGTGGCGGGTGTCTATTTGGGCAGACAGCCACTGATTTCTCTTAAAATAAAAATTATTCTTACAGTCTCCCAATATTCGTAAAGAAATTTAATTTCTCTATTTTTTCAATCCGGTGTACGGTTTTCTTCAATCTTCAATATGAGCTCATAGTTGGGATGCTCCAAGGAGAGTACGGGTGCTCCAGGGAATCCATAAAATTTCCGTCAAAACGGCACAATTTCGAGAAATTTATTGCCACTTTAAAGAGAAAAAAAAGCTTAAATAATTAAAAGAATTTACCTCGGCGTTAAATACTCTTACAGAGTAAATATGGGCAATTCTCTTTAGGTTAATCAGTTTTGGCTGACCACAACATTGCTCTTCCACTAAGTATCAGGAAAACGATACCATCCCACCCATGTACTTCCTCAGAAATCGTGCATAAAGCCATACGCCCAATGGTATTAGCGGTACGAATTTATTTTGCAAACGAATTATTTATTTAAAAGAAAGGTACATGGATATGCTGCGGTCGGATTGAATTGATTCTTTGTTGATAAAACGTCTATTTTCAAAGAGACCATTTATAACTCTGTGAGTATTTGAAAGATTGGTAATAACAACAAAATAAAACGAACTAAATGACCAGTTTTCTTAGCCTGGCAGCACTGCCGTAGAGCTCAGAGTAAATCAGGTGCATCCGGCGACGCAGAAAAAAAGAAAATGCTTAGAATTTAAACACGTACCGGATCGTATTTAACTATAAAAGCCCTATATCTATTCCTAGAAGCAATGAATAATCAATAATAATTCTTTTTCTTTAGCAAAATATGACAGGTCCGCTTTAACAAAAGCTTTAAAAAATCTTCTTCGTGTCGTGGGCAGCAAAACAGCAATGCACTTGCAGTTGAGATTATATTATTAGCACTGAATAAAATAATTAAAAAATACTATTTTTGATCAAACGAGGTGTTCTTAATTGGACTGTTAGTATCTCTAATGATGATTAAACTATGCAGATAGTAACTTTCAATTTGACGACGTCGAACATGAAGCTAGCCCAGCTTGTGGTACTTAGATTCTATAGGTCCTTACACTTATGGCATTTATTCTCCTTTACTCGATGACTCACCGGTTGTTTGCAATCTGTCACTTCTCTAGTAGGGCGAGGCAAACAAGTTATTATTTGTTTGTTCCATGGCCTACTAAAGAAAATCCGCAACGTGGCCCAACTGATAGGCGACAGACACAGTAAACCATTTTTCCTGTTTTTTTCATTTTTGTGTAATTCAAATAAGTAACAAATAATATTTATTAGTTGTTAACAGCAACAGCAATCGCTCCAGCCCTTCTTTGAGTTTGTAATTCAATTTTTTTCGAAAATTTCAAACTAACCATTCCGGAAATAATAAAATTGTTTCCGCTTGGCAAGCGCTCCCGGATTTTGTTGCGTCCGCGACTACTTTAATTTGAGAATTTAAGGTATCGGCACACAGAACGCCCTTAATAATTTACAAAAGTCGTAAATAACATGGACTCGTGGCGTTCGTAAGCTCGACGCGTAATAAATAAGGCAGGGCGGAAAATTCGTGGGCCAGTGCCGCGACCGTCGAAAAAAGCGAAGCTGCCCGCGGCAAAAAGCTGCACCCCGCCATTGCGGGCCTCCATAAATAAGTGTTAGGCTCCCCCATTACGAAATGCATATAAGCACTTGTTGGATGAGTCACTCGAACGAGGGCCTTTAAATGCCCTTTTGAGCATTGAGAACGACGTGCGGCTTTTGCTTTTAACGTTGCTCGACTATGGCTTTACCAAAAGGGGGCATTAAATTTTTAAACGGCATCGAGTCTTCCCGCTGGTGGTTTTAATGGAGAAAAAATATTGATTGGGAATTTTACCATCTGCCGGTTGTTAGAGAATTCATGAGATGGCCGCTATATATGGTGTTTCAGAATAAGTTTATGTGCAAAAGCAACCAACATGTTTATTATTTTGCGCTGGTTCTTACCGACAGTGGAAATAGTGGAAGATTAAAATTCCTTTGTCTTAAGTGTTTATGCTTATGCCACTCCGTTCGTTCTGGATCACGATCCCCTCAGGTATTGCAGTGAATTTTTCCTTTGTTAAACACATTTCTCATTCTATTTTTAAGCAACTCTCTTTTAGACCTCTCTCTCTCTAATAACTATCTAACAAAACTATAAACAAAACTTATTTTAATGTAGTGTTCAATTCCGCCAACACAATATAAGAGGAAAATAGCCAAATACCTGATCGCTCAAATTCAAAAGAAAATGCAGTATGATGTGATCTTCACGTTGATGATCTAATCCATTTCGTGCATCCTTTGTTCAAAGATAAATTAACTTTACAAATCACATTAAATTTGTGAAATTTAAGGAAAACTACTAGAGTTGGGTCAGTCCTAAGTCCGGATAAATATAGGTAGGGGGGATTGTTATGATTCCTGCTAGTTTTATTCTAAAAATTTAATAATATATAACAACTGCAGCTAAAGCCCCTAGCGTATTCTGTTTTTAAACTGAAAGGTTCATTCGTACTCTTTAAAAACATATGAAAAATATTCATATTGGTTGAAAAATTCAGGAAATATTAAAATGTAAATATTATCCCCTTCCCTTATGACATATAGGAAAAATGTCTTGAAGCAAAAGTGATGTATTATTTAAGCTTTCTTTCAAAGTCATCATTGTCCCATTTTTCTTCTTGGTGCATCTAATCAATTTAAACTCGTATTAAAGCATATTAAAATGTCTTTCAAACACCTTTTTTTTTATCTGATCTCTAACTATTGCAACCACATCAATTTTACATGATGTCTCTTAGAATTCTCATTTTGATAAGAATTTAACTTGAATTCCTACCCTGTATAAGTAGAACCATATTAAATATGACCAGCTTAAAGTATACCCACTTTTTGCTTGCAGGACCGTGATAATGGGAGCAGTTTTGTTCGTGGTCAACTACGACAAGAGCGTCCAGTGTGTCCTCCTCTTGTGGGGTCTGGTGGTAGGGTACCTAGGTATCCTTCTCTTGTCCATGGCCATAGAAATATGTGTGTGCATCGTGGCCTTAAGGGGGAGCATTTTGGACACCTCACCCAGGAGTTCCATGCAATATATCTTGTATATTAGGCTTTGTAAGTACATCCTTGCATCCAATATACTTTTGATACAATAGATGCTTCGACAGCTGTGATGGTTATTGAAGCTGGTTGGTTGTCGGCCGGCATAGCCTGGCTGATGAAGTACTACGTAGATTGCCCCGTTGATAATGCTAAGGAAACAGTGTTGGGTGAGTTTTTTCATTATTATGTTTGTTTTTTCGTACCAAATAACGATATTGACGATATTATTCTTGCCATAGGCTGCTAATTTTTTATGATTTGATGCCAACGGCACTATTTAAACTAAATAAGGTTCACCCTAATGCGGCGATAAATGTAAAACTCGAAGTAGAAAGAAAACATACCTCAAATTCAATTATGTTGCTACTTATCAAGAAAACTTTCTTTTCGCTGTGGTGTAATTAATCATTTGGGTATTCAATTTGATCCTGAAATGACGTCTATGGCACATGGCACTTCCATTTCGAGCCCAGCTCCTCGTGCAAAATTGTAGGTCATTTGCTGCTCTTTGTATAGCACTGGTTGGCAATGAAATCCTCCTTTAAAAAATTTTATGATAAATATAATGATTCAAACGTTTTGAATCTATCCCCGTTGGCTGATTTTTTCTATCACGTCTAGATTTTTCGATATGACTTTTTTTTATATTTCAAAATTTTGTTTTTTTTTTTTTCAATTTTTTCATTCGTCAACGTTACAAAAAGTAAATATACATACAAAATGAGTTTCAGAGAGTTGTAAGAGAAAGGAGGGAAGTGCCGAAGGTGATTTTTATGGTAGTAAATATGCGCATGCGCAGTATTCATTGTGACGCTACAACAGTTCAGTGAAAACTTGTCGTTTAATTGTTTACCTTTTACATCAAATATTTTGGTAAGTTTTGCATAAAGTTCATGTTCTCTACATTGGATTTAAGTATTTGATGTGTAGTTTGAGTATTTTTTTTTAAGTAGAGCCAAAAAATATAAAATAGAAGTTTGAAAGTTGTTTTAAAATTAATTTTATGTGATTTTAGGTTACAAAATGCCACGGACTTTTTTCAATTATGCGTTTCACAAAAAAATGTTGGGCTCGACTGCTAGGATCATTCGCCCATTGCCGACTTCCGTCGAGGATTTTCGCTTCTGGTCAATGACCACCACGTACAAAGAAGAAAAATTCTTCCACCGCGGACCTCCGGGCCCATCCGGCCTCCATATCGGCGTGAACAGGGAAAAACGACGGGGCCGACGACGATTATCACTTTAAAACATGCACTGAACACTAAAAACACTAAGTCCACACAGTGGAAACCGATATCAAACTTTTGAGGACGAATACAAGGGATTCTGTCGGGAGCGAACGGAGGTTAAACCGTGTGGGGAATACATACTAAAAACACAGCGACATATCATGACCGATCTGATTAAAACAGCTTATAAGCTATATTTTGGATTTTCTATCGGTGAGCGAGATAAAAGTTGGTTGCCAAAAGTATGCTGCAATAGCTGCTCAAGAACGTTGAGAGGTTGGCTTGAAGAAAGTCACAAATCCATGCCGTTTTCAATGCCAATCATTTGGAGTGGGCCTCAAAATCATGAGAATGATTGTTATTTCGGCATGACATCTACACGAGGATTCTCGAGAAAAAAATTATAATTTATACTTTGTGTATCTAGATGTCGGCATGTTATGATAAAGTAATAAATAACTGTAAAAATCTGAATATTTTTTGTTCTAATTTAATTGTTTTGAGTTATGTTGTCTCTATATTATTATTATTATTATTATTTTACTTACCATCCTAGTTAGGGCAACTTCAATTTACGGTTGGAGTTCTAGATCTTACCGCTCGTTTCAGCTATGGTTGTTTTCAACTGGTGCATCCTCCTATCAGTATTAATAACGGTGTGGTGTTGTTACGACACAGCTGGTCGTTCGTGGGTGAAAATGAAGCAGTACCAGAGGTCCATGAGAGAGTCGGAGTCGAAGTTTCAGTACAAACGCTCAGGCAGTACCAGGAATTGGAGGCAGAGGTGAGTAGATCCACATTGAGGTTCGACGGGCGAGGCTATCGAAGGGCTGATAATTTATGTTTAGTTTTGTAGGACCCAAGGAAGCATCTTCGTTAGTCCTTCACACTTCCGACGTTCCAATTTTTATGATTTCGCGAATGTGAGTTTTTGGTTTTTCCTTTGCCGGGCTTCCGCTTTGAGATTACCATTTGTTTTCTTGTGCATTTTTGAGTTTCCGCTTTCATAGTTTAGTGCGATATCACTAACAGTTCAATTTCTCATTGTTATGAGATTGTGTGAAGTGAACAATTAAGCCAGCTAAATCGGTATATGTCGGAAACGTTTGACGGAAAGATTTTGGAAAAAAAACACGCACATAGGACAAAATAACCAAACTAAACCTTTCTGGTGATTAATCTATTCTGGATATTCGCGTCTGATCACGAGTTTTGCACCAGTGTGACGAAACGTATCTTGCACGATCATGTAGTGGAGCGCCGTAAGGTTTATACCTCGGAATCCAGGGCCAGTCAATAAATCTTTTTATAAACTTTGGCAATGTGTTTTTAATAGCATATAGAAAAATGTAAAAAAAAATATTTTGTGCGATCTTAATTTTTTAATAATTATTAATTTTTTGGAGTTTTCCTTAAGTTATATTAGTGTAAAATAAGATTTTAAAAAGAGGAACTATTACAAACTTCATCTTGGGTCTCAAGGGACTGCAGGTATAACGAAAGCTGTTTCTGTGGAAAGAGGGGATGGACTTTCTCAGTATTTAAATACTTGCGAATTTGTCTACGTGCATTCAGTATGCAGACAAAAATATATCAATAAAGGATGTATTAATGCTTATTCAAAAAAAAAGAACACCACATCAACATGCTCTCCACCTAAAAAAAAAACTGCGAACGGCTACTTCTATTGATTTTGATTGGAAAAATAAGTGCTTTTTATGTGAAAAAGAAGCGGATGAAATGAAGGAAAGAAGAAAGTCCAAATCGGTAAGACAGCAAATTAGCTACGTAACTACTTCTGAGTTCAAGCAAACTATTTTAAATTTGATAAGCGAAGAGAAAAGCGAATATTGTCGCAATATCCATAAAAGAATCGTAAGTGTGTTAGATCTATTAGCTCAGGACGCTAAGTATCACGTGGATTGTTATATGCGTTTGAAAACTACCGTAAAACAGACCCAGAGGGATAAAAAAATTCATCCAGTTACAATATAAGTAGATGCAGCAATGGAGCAGATTTTCAAATATAAGGTTGTTCGGAAAGTCATTTCGTTTTTTCCCGTCAGAGGTTTTAATTACGTTTTTTCGAAACCAACTTCACACTTAAGCCGCATAACCATTATATGTCTTGAGAGCTGATATTGCAAGGCTTGTGTGTGAAAAAGTTCTATTAATTCTACGCAGTAGTTTTTGGTTGGTGCCCTTTAAATATGGAGAGCAATAAGCAGCATTTTCGTCATATTTTACTTTTTACTTCAGAAAAGGTAAAAATGCTGTCCAAGCGAGAAAAAAATTGACGGGTGAGTATGGAGAAGGCGTGTTAACAGTACGCCAGTGCCAGAACTGGTTTGCAAAATTTCGATCCGGCAATTTTGATGTCGAAGATGCACCACGGTCTGGAAGGCCGGTCGAAGCTGACAAAGATGCGATAAAGGCATTAGTTGATGCAAATCGGCGAATAACCACACGAGAGATCGGTGAGAGATTAAATTTGTCGAATTCGACTGTTTATGGCCATTTGAAAGGCATGGGCTTAACCTCGAAGCTCGATGTGTGGGTGCCCCATGTCCTTACGGAGCGAAATTTGTGTCGTCGCGTTGACGTGTGTGATTCGCTCCTCAAACGTCAAGAAAATGATCCATTTTTGAAGCGGATTATTACCGGAGACGAAAAATGGGTTGTATACAACAATGTTAAACGCAAGAGGTCATGGAGCGGAAAAGATGAACCGGCTCAAAGCGTGTCAAAAGCCAACATTCACCAAAAAAAAGGTGATGCTCTCCGTTTGGTGGGATGTCAAAGGAATGGTTTTTTTTGAGCTTTTGCCGGACAATACAACGATTAATTCAGAAGTCTATTGTCATCAACTGGACAAATTGAATGATTCACTTAAAGAGAAGAGGCCCGAATTAATCAACAGGAAGGGTGTAGTGTTCCACCAGGATAATGCGAGACCTCACACAAGTTTGGTCACTCGCCAAAAACTTTTACAGCTTGAATGGGGCGTACTGCAACATCCACCATATTCTCCAGATCTGGCGCCTTCCGACTACTATTTGTTCCGGTCCCTGCAAAATTTTTTGGATGGCAAAACCTTTACCTCAAATAAAGATGTCAAAAACCACCTGAACCAGTTTTTTGCCAGCAAGGACCAAAACTTTTATGAGAGAGGAATTATGTTACTGCCAGAAAGGTGTTGGACCAGAATGGCCAATACATAATTTAATAAAATATTTATTCATTATACGAAAACTGTCTTTCATGTTCTCCAAAAAAAACGAAATGACTTTCCGAACAACCCAATATATTGAAGAAAATGATGACTGCCAGCTTTCACTGGCAGAATGGCAGAATTAAAAAGTATTGTGAGAATTGATCATATTCCTGATGATAAAACGATAAAAATGAGGTTAATGAACCATTATGAGGATAATTCAGTAAATTTGGATTTTTATACAATGATATGTTTTAAAAAACAACAATATGAAATGCGGCTTTTTTTCAACGTGGCAAAAATGTGTTTGCAAAAAATTTCGAAAAACGAAAGGAATTGCAAAATGCTGCGACAGTTTTTAAAAATGAATGCAAAGACATCGATAAAAATTTTAAAGCTGGTGTTCCATGCACTCTTGCTTTATACAACGCCCGCAAAAAATAAAAGATCTTAATGCATTGAGATATAACTCTTTTTTGAAAGCAACTGCCAAAAATACCTGCTTTAAACTGCCGCCTTTACCACCTACTGCAGATGCCGCTTTTGAACACTTCAAAAGAGTATATTTGCAAGTTCAAACATGGTTCGGAAAGGAAATATTACCAGAAGAACGGGGTTGATACCGCAAACAATCACGCAGCGACCAGTTCTAAAATCTTTTCTGACAGGCCCTATTTTGTAAGCGCCATTTTGTCTCGCTGCTATTGTGTCAGAGCCTGAAGAGTCCCTCCAATGTCACAAACCTAACTTGTAGTTTTGCCCAAAACTTGATTATATATTTAAATCTTTTATAAATAACCATGAATTTATTCTTTCTTTTTAGTTCATAAAATATTGTTCATAAAATATGATTTTCTCTTGCGATATTTACAGACTTTTTTCCGTTTCCGGTCTATACACTCTGATCCAATTTGGCATCCCAGAGTTGTGCAATGGTGCGGCAAAACACAATTTTTCCTTATTTATGACTATATTGAAAAAATGTTTTAGTGAAAAATTCTAAATTATTCACGATGTTTCATAAATACAATAGTTAAGTAGTATATTATGTAACAAATTTTATAAGCTACATTATGTATTTCTTTTCCGACGATCAGTTGATCACTTTATTTTGCATTGAGGGGTCACTAGGTAACTAGAAGTTAACGTATTTTTGTAAATTATATATGTAAATGTAATGTATGTAATTACGAAAAAAAGTATATTTTAAAATTCGCAAAATTTGACATTTTGGAGAACCTCCAGCAAGAAATACTTACAGGCACTTTACTAAGATCTTAGTAATAGGACTCTAATTAGGTGCACCTTTATATTAATAGCATTATGATTCAGATAAGAAGAGTGCAGACTTGTAACTCCCAAATGCAGAAACGTCACGCTAAACACTTTTATAGGAGATTTTCAGAAAAGGAAATTGGAGGACTTTGAAGCCATTTCCGTAACACCAATCGGCTAAGTTATAAAGGTTGTATTGTAAATTGTCACAGTCCACCAGGTAATTAATAATTGGATTTAGGAGAAGCCCAAAGTGCGGCTACCTAATTGAACAATCTGTATGCGATGTAATAACATGTGATCAGATCCGAGGCAATGAATTTGAGTCAGATTTATCTCTGTGAGCTAACCCATCCGAGAACCAAATTGCCAATTGAGCTTCAATAAGGGCTATCGGGCTTGTGTTCATTATATTAACGGGTTTATAAATATGAAGATAGGCCTTACAAACCTCACCTTCAAGTGCAAGGGTGTTTTGCAGATTTTAAACTTTACTGATGGGAGCGATCAGATGCTCTCAGTAGATCTGATTATTTACAATCTAAACAAAACAACAACATCTATTGAAACATTTTTCCGAAATAGCGATAAATGATGGAGACACATTTGCTCAATTCCGTACGAGTGTGCGTGACACGAATTATTACTTTGTTTCGGTGCGACAGATAACATTCGTAGTAAATCGAACATAGTGGAAAGAAATAGCTCCATCCTTTTGTCGCGTTTATAAAGATGGTCACGTCAGATATCAGAACCAACGCCTTGACTTTTTCTATAACTGGGTTAATACCTGTCGTTCAAAGCTGAAACCTTCCCGATAAGCGGGGTAATGGTCTCCGTCTCTATTTTCACTTGACCTGATTCTCCCTAATCTGCCGGGCTCGAGTTTTACAGAGTCCGTTGCGAAACGGTTTCTTATGATCCCAAAGAGCTCAATAGCCTAAATTACTCAGAATATTCTAATCGCGACGGAGTGTACAGTAATCCGATTAAAAAAGCGTTAGACACTTTTACACGAAATGCACCCTTAAAAAGCAAAGCGAAGCCCTATGTTTATTTAGGACGCACGCTCACCATTTTTTACACGTATTCGATAACAGCTTGGCGGACTTGTTTTGGCCATCATAAGAATTTTTTCAAAACTTCATTTATAGAGCGTTTATATACAGAGTGTTCCTTAATGCGGTGGTGTGAAGATAAATCTTGATTTTGTTTTGTTAAAAAAAATCATATTTTTCAGAAAAAAACATCTTTTTCTATTATCTAAAAAATGTTTTCGATATCTTTGTATAAATGCGCTCTTTAGAGGTGCATTAATTTCGCATATTTTTGTTAAAAAAAAAATTCCATTGACATTTTTTTCGGTAAATATTTCCCTGTCTCTCTTGCCTTTTTTGTAACATGTTCAGTTATAGTTTATAAACGTCATTGTCAGATCCCTCTTTGTTGATTCATCTTAACTTAATGTTTATTCCTCAAAAGCGCCTCAAGCTAATGTTTCTTCTATTCTATTGTTTCCCTGGGTTAATTAAATTTTTAAATTTTAAAAAAATTTCCATAGCAAATTTTCGGCTAATGTATGGGCAGGAATTATTGGTGCCCTTCTAGTAGGTCCATTTTTTTATCAGTGTAACTCGTTGGACTCCCTGCGCACCTGCTTCAAGATAGTTTCCCTGGAGAATCAAAAGAATCAAATTTAGTACATCCAAATATTTAAATTCATTTAATTCATCTCATCAACGATCGGCGTGATCGCGTGATCTCAATAGTTTACAAAAATTACGATGAATACCTGTAGAAAATTTGAATCAGTGATATTTTTCTGTCCTATTTTGACTTCATTATATTGTAATGGCACATATTTATAATATGACTTTTTGCTGCAACTGAACTAAGTCTCATTACATTCTATAGAAAGTAGATTTACTGGAAGATTTGAAAAAAACAGGTGGTAAAGTACTTCTAATTTAAGACCGGCATCTTGGAAAGGGCAAAGAAATACATTATTTAAAAATAATTTTTGAATAGTAAGAAAGGGAACTAAAATAGACGATTTTCAAGTTTCTCAACTTCATTACTGAGATAGTAAAAGTGAAAAAGGAATATATGACACCCTATGTAGTAAAATCCCATCTGCTGCTGAATCGAAGGTAGGCTTCTCTGGGTCTTCTGAGTCCGCCATGATTCCCCCAGCAAGAGCCGGCACGAAATAGTGCATCCAACCTCATTGCGCCGTTTCTTGCAGGAAGGTACTCAGAGCGTACCAAGACAGCTGGCAGAACAGATGCCGATTCCTCTTCTGTTGTTCCACACCTTCCGACCGGAACCGGAACTCTTTTGCCGATATCGCGCGACTGCTTTCCGATTTCTTCCGGGATCTGGACGTGGTACCCTCTGATGTAGTCGTGGGCCTGGTACTGCTGAGGAAGTTCCAGAAGATTGAACGGAAAGCTATCGTCGAACAGGTTCGTAAATCAAACGTTTACAAAACAAAAAGAGTATATTGATTCCACACCTATTTTACTATCAGTTGAATCCTAGGATACTTATATTTAATCTTGATTGTCGACAGTCCTACAGAACTACTTTTATGGAAAAAGAAACATTGTTAAATGGATGAAAAAGGTCAAACATTTTACTCACCGAAGTATTACAAAAAGTCCACCTAATCTTTATAACAAACTTCCAGAAAGTTTTAAATATTTTACAATACAAATAAGTCACTTTTAATTAATTAATATTTCTTTAATTTTGCGAGAATTTGAAATTTTTGTCGTCAAGAAGTAAACTTAAAACTTAAAATAGTTTTCTCGGTCTGGGGTTGTAGTGAAATTTTTGCTTAGTGTATTTTTAATTCTTAAATGTAAACTAAATAAACTTTACTTGCACTTGGATATTCTTTTTAGAAGGTTCAGAAATCCCTTATGTTATAAGGTAGAATATAGCACAAACGTTACATAGTGCGTCTTCGCGCTTACCAAGAACTGCCATTAAATTTTTATGACATTTTCAATAATTTATTTATGGATTCTGGATTTCGTGAGTCAGATGCCACGTTTAAGCAATTTATTTTCTATTAAAATTGTTACTTTAGTCAGCTGCCGATCAGAAGACTATCTCTGATATGCAGGACGAAAAAAAAGTCAAAATGTCAAAGCACAAATAAGAAGACTGTAGGAAGTCGCCTTAAATCTTAAACAAGACAAACAAGAATAGAGTTTTTTTCCTTAATTGTTGTGGAAGCCAGATGTATATAACCTTAGTTTTGGTTACCTCTACAAGCTCTATACTTACAATATTTTTGAACAGGGCGGGGTCCATTACCATGACCATGGTTATCAATTGATGTTAATAAATAATAATAGTCATTATCTTATCATAAAGTATTGATATATTGTTGACCCTATTCCAATTGTTAAAATAACCAAAATTGGACTGCTTTACGTTCTTAATAATAATAATAATAATAATAATAATAATAATAATAATAATAATAATAATAATAATAATAATAATAATAATAATAATAATAATAATAATAATAATAATAATAATAATAATAATAATAATAATAATAACAATAATAATAATAATAATAATAATAATATATATATATATCGTTTATTGACCATTTACAAATACAAAACGTATTTTTAAAGTCAGCAAAAGAATAACAATTTATAAAATAACTTAAAATAATTTAGATCTACTGTGCCCGATAAGTAACAAATTCGTTTATGGAATAGAAACAATGCTCTTCAAAAAACTTTTTTGATAATTGTTTGAATTTTTTGATGGAAAGTCGTTTAATATCAATATTTTTGGACCGAAAAATAGTGTTTGCAAAAATATTATACAATTCTAGATTAAGTTTATTTTTTTGTGTAGTACACAACCTCGATCTTAATGTTTTGATATTGTCAGCTGTTCGCGTCATGTAACTGTGATATCCACCATGAGTCGGAAAAACAGACAAATTTGAGTGGATTTCAACTAAAGTTTGGAGAATAAACATACATGGTAACGTAAGTATTTTCAATTCTTTGAATATTGGGCGGCAGTGGCTGGACGGCGGAACACCCCCAAGAACCCGAACCGCAGACTTCTGCAATCTAAAGGCTCTCTCGGCCTCCGTCGCGTTCCCCCACAGTAGTAGACCATAAGATAAGATACTATGAAACAGTGCAAAATAAACTATACGGAGAGTGCTTTGCGAGATCGAACCTCGCAGTTGTCTCAGAACAAAAACCTGAGATGACAATTTACCGCACAGGTAGTCTATATGAGGCGACCACGTTAAAAACGCATCTAGGTAAACACCAAGGAGTTTGACCGGTTCAGATTTTTTACTTCTTCGATTGGTATTGAAAATTAGAGTCTTTGTTTTATCGGAATTTAATTTAAGTTTATTAGCAGAGAACCAGTGCTCAATCATAGAGAGTGTAGTGACAGCCTTTTTATTTAAATTAGTTAGATCTTTCTCCGATTCAATCAATGATGTGTCATCCGCATAGAGTATACTGCGAGCAGCATTTGTTGCAAATACTACATCATTGACATATATTATAAACAAAAGTGGACCAAGGATGGAACCCTGAGGCACTCCATTAGTAATGTCCAACAGAGTGGATTCCCGATTATTCCAGACAACATATTGCTTTCTTCCGGTCAAATAAGATTTTAAAAGGGCTAAGGTATTTTCACGAATTCCGTAGTACTCAAGTTTAGACAGAAGTATATTAGTATCCACGCAGTCGAATGCCTTGGTGAGGTCGCACATCGTTACCGAAGTCGACAGGCCCTCCTCAAACCCATCAATCACATGCTCAATCACTGTGTATAAGGCACGGATGGCGGACCTACCTGACCGAAAACCAAATTGGGAATCTGTTAACAATTTCCTTCCCTCAAAGTAAGCAATAAGTTTATCTTTTATTATCGACTCAAAAATTTTTCCAATGATAGGAACGATTGCTATTGGTCTAAAATTATCTAAGATATTAGTATCCCCTTTTTTATGGAGTGGAAGAATTTTTGTCACTTTTAATTCATCCGGAAAACATCCCTCTTCAATGCTATTGTTTATTAGTAACGTAATAGGTTTCAGAAGTGAAGATATTGATTGCTTAATAATATTGGCATTTAGACCATAATAGTCAAGACAACGAGAGTTTTTTAGTTTTAAAATCGCTTCCCTAACATCACTCTCCACAACTGCCGACATAAAAAACGAGAAATTGGGTCTAGATGATCTGGAGATGTAGGTCATAGCATCTACTACTGAAGGTGTGATGGTTTTCGTTATCTCCGCTGACACAGAAGCAAAAAATCTGTTGAACTCCAACGGAGTAATAGATGATTGAATAGAGTTACTGTGCTTAGACCGTCTCTCCGAATTAACAATATTCCATGTCGTTTTAGATTTATCATTTGAACTCAGAATTATGTCATCATAAGTCTTCTTTTTCTCCACCTTTATAGTGTGACGATATTCTTTGTGGAACCGCTTGTAAGCCTGAAAGTCTTGGTTACTTTTTGAACTATGGTATTTTTTTTTAAGGCATAAAAGATGCTGGCGCATTTGTTTAAGGTTTTCATTGAACCATTTAATTGGCGAGCAATGGATGGTAGAGTTAACAATGGGAAAGAAACTGTCGACAGCTCCCCTAAGTTGTTCAATAAACATAGAACAAAACTCAACGCCACTTTGTTCGTTACTGACAAGTTTGGACCACTCAATGTGCTCCAGACTGTTGCCGAACGCAGTTATACGTTTATTATTTATTAACCTTCTTTTAATTTTATCATGATTACGACAAAGCACTGACGAATTAACTTTTATTAATTGTCCCAAATGATCTGACAAAACGGGGTCACAGACTAGGACACTTAACCGGTCACTAGGAAAATTGGAAATTACATTGTCCAAACAGGAATCTACTGATTTAGACTTCCTGGTAGGTTCTTTTACAAAGAACTCTAAGCCAAACGAAATGAATATATTTTTTAACTCCTCTGATTGTGAGGTTTTTTGTGTTAAGTCTACGTTAAAATCGCCAACAATAATTAAGTTGTCATAACGTTTATGAAGAAAACTTATCATTCTGTTCAAATGATCAATAAAAATGGATACATTGCCTGAAGTAGAAGATCTGTAAAGAGCAAGTAAAACAGTCTTATTATCAATAATTTCCGCTGCACAAAATTCTGCATGAGTTTGAATAGCAAATCCGCCGACATCTAGATATTTGTATTTGATATGCGGTCTTGAAAAAATAGCAACGCCACCATGTTTAAGTTTTGGTCTACAAAATGACGAAATTAAAGTAAAATCGTTCATTTTAACCGACTCAAGCCCACCGCCATCCAGCCAATGCTCAGAGAGGCACAGAATATCAATATAATAATAATAATAATAATAATAATAATAATAATAATAATAATAATAATAATAATAATAATAATAATAATAATAATAATAATAATAATAATAATAATAATAATAATAATAATAATAATAATAATAATAATAATAATAATAATAATAATAATAATAATAATAATAATAATAATAATATATATATATATCGTTTATTGACCATTTACAAATACAAAACGTATTTTTAAAGTCAGCAAAAGAATAACAATTTATAAAATAACTTAAAATAATTTAGATCTACTGTGCCCGATAAGTAACAAATTCGTTTATGGAATAGAAACAATGCTCTTCAAAAAACTTTTTTGATAATTGTTTGAATTTTTTGATGGAAAGTCGTTTAATATCAATATTTTTGGACCGAAAAATAGTGTTTGCAAAAATATTATACAATTCTAGATTAAGTTTATTTTTTTGTGTAGTACACAACCTCGATCTTAATGTTTTGATATTGTCAGCTGTTCGCGTCATGTAACTGTGATATCCACCATGAGTCGGAAAAACAGACAAATTTGAGTGGATTTCAACTAAAGTTTGGAGAATAAACATACATGGTAACGTAAGTATTTTCAATTCTTTGAATATTGGGCGGCAGTGGCTGGACGGCGGAACACCCCCAAGAACCCGAACCGCAGACTTCTGCAATCTAAAGGCTCTCTCGGCCTCCGTCGCGTTCCCCCACAGTAGTAGACCATAAGATAAGATACTATGAAACAGTGCAAAATAAACTATACGGAGAGTGCTTTGCGAGATCGAACCTCGCAGTTGTCTCAGAACAAAAACCTGAGATGACAATTTACCGCACAGGTAGTCTATATGAGGCGACCACGTTAAAAACGCATCTAGGTAAACACCAAGGAGTTTGACCGGTTCAGATTTTTTACTTCTTCGATTGGTATTGAAAATTAGAGTCTTTGTTTTATCGGAATTTAATTTAAGTTTATTAGCAGAGAACCAGTGCTCAATCATAGAGAGTGTAGTGACAGCCTTTTTATTTAAATTAGTTAGATCTTTCTCCGATTCAATCAATGATGTGTCATCCGCATAGAGTATACTGCGAGCAGCATTTGTTGCAAATACTACATCATTGACATATATTATAAACAAAAGTGGACCAAGGATGGAACCCTGAGGCACTCCATTAGTAATGTCCAACAGAGTGGATTCCCGATTATTCCAGACAACATATTGCTTTCTTCCGGTCAAATAAGATTTTAAAAGGGCTAAGGTATTTTCACGAATTCCGTAGTACTCAAGTTTAGACAGAAGTATATTAGTATCCACGCAGTCGAATGCCTTGGTGAGGTCGCACATCGTTACCGAAGTCGACAGGCCCTCCTCAAACCCATCAATCACATGCTCAATCACTGTGTATAAGGCACGGATGGTGGACCTACCTGACCGAAAACCAAATTGGGAATCTGTTAACAATTTCCTTCCCTCAAAGTAAGCAATAAGTTTATCTTTTATTATCGACTCAAAAATTTTTCCAATGATAGGAACGATTGCTATTGGTCTAAAATTATCTAAGATATTAGTATCCCCTTTTTTATGGAGTGGAAGAATTTTTGTCACTTTTAATTCATCCGGAAAACATCCCTCTTCAATGCTATTGTTTATTAGTAACGTAATAGGTTTCAGAAGTGAAGATATTGATTGCTTAATAATATTGGCATTTAGACCATAATAGTCAAGACAACGAGAGTTTTTTAGTTTTAAAATCGCTTCCCTAACATCACTCTCCACAACTGCCGACATAAAAAACGAGAAATTGGGTCTAGATGATCTGGAGATGTAGGTCATAGCATCTACTACTGAAGGTGTGATGGTTTTCGTTATCTCCGCTGACACAGAAGCAAAAAATCTGTTGAACTCCAACGGAGTAATAGATGATTGAATAGAGTTACTGTGCTTAGACCGTCTCTCCGAATTAACAATATTCCATGTCGTTTTAGATTTATCATTTGAACTCAGAATTATGTCATCATAAGTCTTCTTTTTCTCCACCTTTATAGTGTGACGATATTCTTTGTGGAACCGCTTGTAAGCATGAAAGTCTTGGTTACTTTTTGAACTATGGTATTTTTTTTTAAGGCATAAAAGATGCTGGCGCATTTGTTTAAGGTTTTCATTGAACCATTTAATTGGCGAGCAATGGATGGTAGAGTTAACAATGGGAAAGAAACTGTCGACAGCTCCCCTAAGTTGTTCAATAAACATAGAACAAAACTCAACGCCACTTTGTTCGTTACTGACAAGTTTGGACCACTCAATGTGCTCCAGACTGTTGCCGAACGCAGTTATACGTTTATTATTTATTAACCTTCTTTTAATTTTATCATGATTACGACAAAGCACTGACGAATTAACTTTTATTAATTGTCCCAAATGATCTGACAAAACGGGGTCACAGACTAGGACACTTAACCGGTCACTAGGAAAATTGGAAATTACATTGTCCAAACAGGAATCTACTGATTTAGACTTCCTGGTAGGTTCTTTTACAAAGAACTCTAAGCCAAACGAAATGAATATATTTTTTAACTCCTCTGATTGTGAGGTTTTTTGTGTTAAGTCTACGTTAAAATCGCCAACAATAATTAAGTTGTCATAACGTTTATGAAGAAAACTTATCATTCTGTTCAAATGATCAATAAAAATGGATACATTGCCTGAAGTAGAAGATCTGTAAAGAGCAAGTAAAACAGTCTTATTATCAATAATTTCCGCTGCACAAAATTCTGCATGAGTTTGAATAGCAAATCCGCCGACATCTAGATATTTGTATTTGATATGCGGTCTTGAAAAAATAGCAACGCCACCATGTTTAAGTTTTGGTCTACAAAATGACGAAATTAAAGTAAAATCGTTCATTTTAACCGACTCAAGCCCACCGCCATCCAGCCAATGCTCAGAGAGGCACAAAATATCAATATTATTTAATCTTGCAAACAGTGAAACTTCATCAATTTTATTATGTAGCGCTTGAATATTTATATGTAAAATATTGTAGAAATTATTAGTTGACAAAGAATGGATTTCCTGCACTTTTCCCCAAGCCTTAACACTGTTCATTCCCTTGGGTGGCACAAACCTCACTTGCTCCGGACCCAAACTTCTTAGATGGAAAAAATCTGTTTATCTTCACTCCCACAGGCCAAAGATTCGGATCAAGAATCTTACTCGAATCTACCTCCGGGATGGTGACTTTAAAAGAAGAATACTGTGTTGGAAATCTTGATTGTAGTTTGAACACCGACGCATTGGTAGATAGTTGATTCAAATAGACACTGAGATCATCCTCGGACGTTTGAGGGTCAAGTTTGGTAATGTGATACTGATGGCTCTTCTGGACAGCTTTTAATGAACAAACTGGATTCTCCATTGCACCGATCAAGACATTTGTGGACCTCGTGGCTCTAGGGGCCCTTGAAAACTGCTTAGAACTATCCCCGGTAACGAGATTTTGTACTTGGTTACAAATAGTCGTCGCTTCAGCTTGTTGTATCGCAACTGCCACAGCCTCAGGACTAAATTTTGAATTGTGAGGCGGATCGTTGCGCTGATTTCGATGTTTATGGTTATGTTTATGGTGTGTTTTAGGTTGCTCCAGTTTACCAGGCACGTTTTGATCATGCATCACTGAAATGGTTTCTGCAGGCTGGACAGACTTCAACAATCGTATCTGATCTGTCAAAGCTTCGATTGCAATAGCTTGATTCTGAATCGTTAGTTCCTGCTGTTTAATAATTTGTTCCAAATAATAGACTTTTAATTTATCTGTGCCATCCTGATGAACTTCCTCGACAGTAATTTCAACTGGTGAGACGACGTCAGTTTTTGCAGTTTTGGCAACCTCATCTTCACAACATGTAACCGATTTACCATCAACAGACCACTTCGCAGTTTTTATCTGCTTTAGACAACTGACGTGTGACAAAACACCGCATCTAACGCACCTAAGACCAGATTTAATTGAGCTGCTCTTGCACCTTTTGCATACTCCCAAACTTTCACTCATTTTTCAATGATAAAGCAACTATCGGTCTTCAACCTCAAATAAACCAATCAAATAGACGAAAGCTTCCGTGCGCACAGTCCGTTCCCAACAGATCAACGTCACCGGGGTGACAAAAACTAATCTGACTCCGCGCAATGACAACACACGTGCACAACCTTTAAACAGCCTACTGATAAAACAGGGGTTGTTGCTAACACTTAATACGAAGAGAAAAATGTTACTATACACTCCGCACTAATTTTGATAAATTAAATTGCACTCCGAATGAGTTAAATACGCTAAACCTAAATAATAATAATAATAATAATAATAATAATAATAATAATAATAATAATAATAATAATAATAATAATAATAATAATAATAATAATAATAATAATAATGATAATAATAATAATAATAATAAGCGGTGAAAGAGGCTTACAATGTAAAACCTGGCTATGTAAGGGTAACAAAGTATGGGTAATGTATTGTATTGTATTCAAAGCGGAAAAACGACACATACGAGTTTTTGTCCGGTGTGGCTGTGACTCCCAGGACTAGATTCCTCACTTTGCACGAGGGAGGTGATTTGGAACTCTTCCAGACGGTGATACATTTTGCTCATTTTGCTGTCGGCGCTTACGGTTGGCCCTTATATGTCGTCTCTAATAAGCTAGGAGTGTGCCATCTTTGTACAGGTCAGAATTTAGTTGTCCCATCAACGGCGTGGACGATAGTGACGCGGATCATTGTTTATTTAGGACTGCACTGTTGTTGTGTTCCTTGCCGAAAACGAGCGGAGGTTACCGTCGACATCATCGAGGACAACTGTTGTCACTGCAACTACGCGGCGTTGCAAAAAATTTCTGAAATCGGCGACATTGAAATAATTTACGTCACGTACCACGTGGACGTTGGAGAAACGCCGTTTTTCGTAGCCGTGGACTACGACAGGAAAAAAATAGTCATCAGTGTCAGGGGGACGCTCTCTATGAAGGTGACGCAGCCCATGGTGACCCCGGATCGCTTTTAACGTGGTGAATTCTAGGATATTTTGACGGATTTGAACGCCGAGAGCGAGACGATACCCCTGGATCCTCCGAGGGAAGATTTTTTGGGCCACAAGGGCATGGTCCAAGCCGCCCAATACATCATGGACAAGATCGTCCAGGAGCAGCTCATCGAGCGAGCCAAGTCGCAACGACCCGAACGGGGTACCAAAGATTATGAATTAGTTATAGTAGGGCATTCGTTAGGAGCAGGTAAGGCATGTTCGTAAAACGGTTGTTCTGGAAAACTGTTGTCAAACGCGAGTGGGATATAAGAAACATTGAAGTAAATAATTTTGGGCGTCACAAAACTTGTTGTTATTATATATTGTTTGAGGGGGGTCTCCCCAATATATTCTTTGCCGCAAACGCTCTAAGCTCCTGGCATCTCTTTTGTAAATATTAAATAGTTAAGTTAAGAACCATGTAAAGCAAAAAAAGGAATAAAAAGAAATGAAAATTGAAAAAAAAAACACTTCAACCCCTCATCAGGGAGGTTGAGGGGGAGGAAATAATTGGGAGAAGGGTTGCGAATTTTGAGTTATATGTGTCAGACTCCAAAATCTAGCTGCACTCTATTTGAAAATTAGGTAGACAAATGTACCAATTATCTTTGAGACCCTTAACTGTCTCTGCAACTTCTGCAAACTTTAGATTTTAAAGACGGACCATAATTTAATTTAAGTTTAATATTAGTTAGCCTTCTCTGCCGCTTTTGATATAATAAATGAGCATCAAAAAGGAGCTTAATATCAATAGTTCTAAATTACTTAAATGTATGAGGAAATAAAATGATCTGTCAGAAGTATATAAACAGAGAACTAAAGTACAAGAGAATAAACAGGGTATATATCATTACTTTAATTATAACAATAAAATAAATTTAAACGGATCTTGCGTTACTCTATCATAGTGCCTTTTGGGTGGTTGCTAGAGCAACAATTTTAATTTCAACAATAAATTAGAAGGTCTTAAATATATGAAATATAATAAACAAAAAAAAATATTAGTGTTATTAAAATTATTTTTATATTTTCATTAAACCACAATCGTTTTTCCATATTGAACGCATTATTGTATATAATTATTTTGTCCTTACACTTACAAGGAAATAATATACTATTTTGGAGAATCCAAATAAGGGGTGTTTTTTTTTCGATGTATAGAACTTTAAGTTGGCATTACTGTTCAAGATGGCGACCGATTTAACAGCTGTCAAGTGATTTATTCTCAGTTTGGTTTGGCAATTATTCATGAATAGACTCACGCCTGAACAACGCTTGCAAATAGTGCAATTTTATTTCGAAAATAATGGTTCTGTGCGGAATACGTATCGCGCACTACGTCCATTTTATCGTCGACAAAATCGTCCATCAGAGCAGTCAATTCGATTAACTCACACCACGTTTACTCTTATTGATAACTCGCATCCCCAGAGACGCCGTACGGTGCGTACAGTAGAAGCTATTGCTGCTGAAGAGCGTAGCATTGAGGAAGACCCGAATGAGTCCATCCGCCATCGAGCACATGAATTGGATCTGCGTCCATCCACTTTATGGAAGATTTTGCGGAAGGATCTCGGTTTACGTGCTTACAAAATCCAACTCGTGCAAGAATTGAGGCCAAACGATCATCAAGTAAGGCGTAGATTCCCGATTTTCATAAGCGAATTTTGTTTAGCGATGAAGCGCACTTCTGGTTGAATGGCTACGTCAACAAACAAAACTGCCGCATTTTACATCCAGAAAAACTGACTGTTTGGTGCGCTTTATGGAATGATGGAATCATTGGTCCGTACTTCTTCAAAAACGATGATGGCCACAAGGTTACAGTCAATGGTGATCGGTATAGAGCTATGAATTAAATAACCATGATGTCCAAGAGATGTGGTTTCAACAAGACGGCGCAACATGTCACACAGCTCGTGCCACAATCGATTTATTGAAAGACACATTTGGCGTTTTGGACCTGTGAGTTGCCCTCCAAGATCTTGTGATTTAACACCGCTAGACTACTTTCTGTGGGGCTATGTAAAGTCATTGGTCTATGCGGATAAGCCACAAACGCTTGATCATTTGGAAGACAACATTCGCCGTGTTATTGCCGATATACGGCCACAAATGTTGGTAAAAGTCGTCGAAAATTGGACGTCCCGATTGGACTACATCCGCGCCAGCCATGGCGGTCATATGCCAGAAATCATATTTAAAATGTAACGCCACAAGATTATCTTTCGGATAAATAAAATTCATGTCAATCGAATAATCCATCGCTGTTTTATTGCAGCTTAAAGTTCTATACATCGAAAAAAAAAACACCCGGTATTGTACTAAAATGGTTCATTCCGCCCATATCGTCTTAATTGAAAAGGATCGACAAGCCCTTTCGTATATCCTCGGTAGTAGTCGAACACGTATGCAGCATAGTCTAGTAGGGTGTGCAGGAAGGGGTCAACAATGAGTAAAGTTTGTTATCTCATTGGTTTCAAAATTAATGAGTTTTCAAGAATATCCATTATTCATTATTCGCGTTTGGCATCACTGTTTCGAAAGAGTAGTTTTGGTTAATTGGTTTGGTTGACCTGGTAATGAGAGAGTGTAAGCTCCAGTTTTGTTATAGGAACTGCTAGCATATTAGGCATTCTGATGCGGCGGATATATCCTTCCTTACTGTGTTACTGTTACTCGCCCCCCGGTGGTTTACTTTCCGCGCCCGCGGTGGAATATTCCAAAGAATTCACCGTATCGGTAGTTGTAGGAAAGGACGTGGTGCCCAGAATAGGTCTCCATCAAATGGAAACTTTGCGAACTGATCTCATCAATGCCATCAAAAGAAGCGTAGACCCCAAGGTGGGTTGCGGTCAAGCGGGATCCGCCGAGGTTAAAATCTTCTGGGTTTTAGTGGAAAACGATCACTTGCAGCATCATTTGTTGCGGTTGCTCGCAACCCACTTCAGCTGTAGAGCTGTCCACCAACGAGAGAGACGTGTGCGAGTACATGAGAAGCAAGGAAAATGCCAGGTGTATGGGTATGCATCCCGCGGATAGTACTATAGCCCTAAGTAGTCATCAACCTTTGTATCCACCGGGGAGGATCATCCATGTGGTCAGGCATCACCCTACGAGCGGACAGTGAGTATTTTTGGACGCATCCCATTTAAGGGACCGAACAATATGATAATATCCATTCTTTTGGTGTTTACAGACAAAAGTATGAAAAAAGATGGAGGTAATCCTTTATTTTTTAAAGTTCCAAAATGGTTTGAGTATTGTGCATGACCGTAATGGGAGTCCTGATTATACTGAGGGCTCCGATTAATTTTGGATTGCAATTTTGAGGTGATTTAAAAGAGTTACGCAGAGCGCTCAGTATAATGTTAATTTTTACTAAATATACGCTTCAGTTATGCATGACACACCTGACCTTCGAAAATATTTCAAACCCCTTAAGTATTTTTTTATACTTTTGTTGTCGTGTGTTAGTTAGGTGTTGTCGGTTTGGATGTTGATCGGGATATAACGTTTTATAATACTACAAAACTATAACGTTTGTGCATAAACGTAAAATACGTCCAGGAAATCACGATTGCTGAACGCAAACTGTTCAGGAACCTCGAAATGCTCGTGTAACGATTTCTTTAGCAGAGAATTGCACTTTTAGGCAAGCGCTGTCAAAAAAAGAGCCCGTCTACCAAGCTTTGTGGGCGAAAAACACAGATTTTGACGAGGTGCTCATTTCGCCCGTAATGATCCAGGATCACATGCCTGACAAAGTCCTGGATGCCTTAAACAAGGTACGTTCCCATACCCAGCACGACAACGTAGCCGAACCGTCTGACTCGCTAGAACGACTGTAGCACCTGTGTGCATGCGTTTTGTGTCATTTTCGTCGACGGAGGTATTCAAACAGTTTCAGTCTAGCGCAGGATGTTATCCCTCCCCGTATTGATGGCTACCTACTCAAATGCACCGCTTATTTTGTATTTAATTACTACTTAACGGTGAACTCGATATTAAGATCGAATGGCAATGGCCAATGGCCAATGGCAACTGCGTGATAACAAAACGCGCGTAGTAATGGGGATTGTCGTCTTTCTCGGGCGCATTTATGTAAATAGGAAAAAGGGATGTTCTCGTTCTTTGATTGCTTTGATTTATAATAATCTGCTTAAGAACGTGCGAAAAAAACCTTCTTAGAAATTTGAGAAAATAGAGATTGAAATGTTTTTTTAACGTTTTAAACAAATGTATTAAGCAGTTATTTATTTATGAAACAAAATCCGATTACGTAGTACGGAAATAAGAATATACTTTATTTTCCCAAAAAGAAACCAGAAAAATAACGGTTATAAACTAAATGGCCCACTGGAACTATGAACATAGTTCTTAAAATATGTTGATATTGCGAATACGAATATTATAATATATTATTATTATTATAAATTATTATATTATTATTATAAAATATTATTCCTGTTTCTATAATTATAAAAGCTTAGTAATTAAATTTCAGTTCAGTTCGGCTTATATGTTTCGATAAAATAATAAAAAATAAAAAAATAAAAAATAGTTTGAAATAAAAAAAATATTAAATTTCGGAACTAGTTTCAAAACAGTGTTGCCATTGCTAGTGCAAACCGATTTTGCTCTCACTGACGCAGAAATTAAAAATGGACACCAATTTTTTTTTTAATTATTTGTATATGTTTTTTGTTCTTTTAGCTGAAAATTGTAAAAATTGTAAAATTTTAGCTCAGAATCTGAAATTTTGATTCCATCGACTTGGCAATAGGCTGATGCACCATATTATAACATGAGATTTACAGGGTACGGGATTTTTATAAAATTATGCGAATTTTGCAAAATGTGAAAACGTAAAGAGAGATCAATTTTTCATCTAAAAGTGTTGTTGCATAATGTTTCAAGAGTCTATTTCGACAAATTAATTAGATAGTATTTAGCGAACAACTTATCAAGCCATTTTGTATTATATGTTAACGTTAAAGGAAACATTCCTCATTACTACCCTCTCCCTGTAAATAACATTTGCCTCCCGAAATCGATATCGGAGTCCACCGCTAGTTAAAAGATATTTATTTGCGTTTCTCTAAACAGGCTGTTATTTTATTTTAAGTTAAATTTTATTTAAAATGTATGTTTTGCTCATTTGCTCATATACTTATGTATTATATTATCGCTCAGACTTACCGTATTGTGATGAATTTTTCTTTTAGTAAAGACTTTTTTACTTGAGTTTCCTTTTATTTCGCGACGCTTCTCAGTATACTTTCTCCCCCTCCCTCCCGAAAGTATCTTACACCGTTGATCCAAAAACCCCGCACCGACATCGGCATGTCACGTGACGCGCGCTGACGCGTGGTGTCTGATTGGCAGTGTGTGACAGGTGGAACACAGTCAACACCGACACCCTCAGGAAAACCACGGGGTCGAAACGCCGTCGATAGAGCTCAGACCTCCCCCCTCAGACACCAGGTACAGTACTTTGACGACGTTTTTCTTATACACTCTCCTTTTTTGTTAGAGGCACCGATTTTTGGCACTCTCATTCATTCAAAGCGCACTCTTATTCTTCTACTTATTGTTATTATTTTTATGTTGAAGCCATCTTTGCCATTACATCCAGACGAAACTAATTATTATACTTAAACAAAAACATATTATACCCATTGGCTTAATTTTAGTATTTCTTTTATACGCTTTGAGATATTTTGTGGTTACTTTGTGAGGTCCCTGAGATTCCCGTTGCCCACTGCTCCAGCAACTAGGTTGGTGTAGACTTTAATGGTTTGACTTTTTTTTAAATGTAGACTTTTGCACGATCGGAATAATTGCATGGCGTGTTGTTGGTAAAATTGTTGTGACACAATTATTTTTGTTATTGCCCGAATGAAGCGCAGAAAAATAAAATTTAATTTCAATCTGTGTCTCGTAACGTCAGTCAAAGATTAATTGAAGATAAACCCATGCACTGTGGCCGTACGCAATCTCTGGCGCGGTCGCCATCAGAATGTAAAATTAACATTGATTTAATTTTAAAAAATTGCTCCTATTGTTGGAATTTTTACCTATTTTTAGAAGAAACATTACTAAACTTGAATGCATGCGTTTTCAGGTAACTTATGAAGTTGCAATCCAAACAAAAATTCTGATTGAGCTTTTAGTATCTCGATTGCTTTTTGACTTAGTTTTGTCGTAATGTAAACTTATGTTTAATTGGTTCAATTAAGTTAAATTTTATGATACTTTCCTAATAAGACAAAATAAAAATTAAATAGAAAAAGTAAATTAAAAATTTCAAGCGATCTGGAAGGTCAACTTTTTTGAAAAATGGGATTCTGAAGGAATCGTGTTCCAAAATCTTGAAATAACGCTCGTCGGAAGGATCTCCCTTATAATGTGTTATTTCTGTTAAAACACAGGTGCAGCAGATCTGTCGAAATTGTAAAATATAGTTCTGCGGCCTCAATTGTTGATTGAAAATATCCGGAATTGTGATTAAGAAAGGTTAGCATTAATAATTTGTATTTGCAAAGAAAGTCACTTTTTTATTTAAAGAAAAAAGCAAAATTGATGCGCCACACATGAATTCATTAAATCTCAAAACAAACTTTCAAAAAACTTGGGTTATGGTACTTAAATAAATTTATTTTTAAAATGCCACAGCTAAATTGAAAACTCTTGAACTCGTCATGTTTTATGCTAAGGTATTTTGTTTGTTGGAAGTGAAATTGTTTGATCTGGTAATATATATATATACACAAACTTGCTGTTCACCATTTAAAGTTTAAAGGTAAGAAGCTAAAGATCGCTATCACTCTGTTTTTTTTTTTCTTTTTTCTGTACACTTGACTTGACTTTAGTGAGTACTCCATAAGCAGAGTACCACCATAATGGGGAACCCCTCAAAACACCAAAAATGCAAAGCAAATAACCAAAAGCCCCATAATCATAACTTTTTGCTTACCTTATTAATAAAAAAACATTCTAGCAATGGTTCTACAAAAAGTTTATTGATTTGGCTATATTTTTGGTTTATTCAACGACATGACCATCAGAATTGACAAACGTCAAAATTCAAGTCTTGCGCTAAAATCTCCGAAAACATCCGATTGCTCCCAATATCCGAAGTGACTCGGATCCATGGGAAAAGAAACTCTTTTGTATAATAATACCATTCTGCATAGAGTAACAAAAATAACAATAAATAGTTTTTATCAACTTAGACAGGGAATTTATAAAAAAAATTACCTTACTTTTGGAATTTTTTGTGTAAAATTTTATCAAATAATTTAGTTATCGACAGTTTTTTAATAAATATAAACAGCTTTAAGCAACATAGAAATTGTTTTTAAAAAAATGCGAAGCCTTTGACGGAAGGTAATGGCGTAGTTTGTTACTGTTTTAGTACCATTGAACCATGTTTCACGTTAATGAATGCCGTAGTTCTAGTTTTAATGTCTAATTCAAACATGAACAAAAAAATTCATCTTCGATATTCTGATGTTCTACGCCCTAACACAGATAATTTTAACCAATTTTATAATTCCACGATATTACCAATTGGCAGCCGTATTTCCGCTTTAATTTCAGGTTGTAACGACGCTGGGTCCGAAGAAACCACATCGATCATCGTCAACGACAGACTCGACCGCGGCCAATTACTTTTCCGCCTCCTCTAACCCCAACCTCTTCTTGGAAACGAGTTTCACATCTCTCCAGTGCCCGTCCACTGACTCTTCCATTACGAACGGTTACTATTCCACGAAAAGCCATCCGTCTCCGCTGTCTCTCCGCCAGCCACTTGCTAATTTTAATCTATCCTTCAGGAGCAATAAGTCTGATACACTGCTGCGGAATAACGTCGTTTCACCTCAAGTAAGTGAAATCTTTGGCAGTCGACGCGAGTAAAACGAAGCAATTCTCAGAAGGAAGAATCGGCTCCTGCTTGCATCACCAAAAGTCTGAGCCTCAATCTCTATCCCAAAGTCGATCTTATTCACGACGACTGGCTCGGATTGGCGCCGTTGGCTAGTCCGGAGAGTTTGTCGGAACTGTCCAGCATCAGCTCGAGGACCAGCCTAGCGGCCACTAACGTCGTGGTCGAGATATGCAAGACTCCAAAAGTAAGTCTTATTATTATCAAAATGAAAGTTAACTACCAAATGCCTTTCAGCTTATGAGACGAACCCCTAAAATAATCGGCAGCTTAAGCACCTGCGCCGACGATATCAGGAACGTGCGAAATTTTGAACTGTGCAAAGTCTTCCCGAGGCTGATCATTAACAACAACAATTCCGAGAGTTCATCAAGCAGCAATTTGAGTTTCGAGTCCGCTTCCAGTAGTAATAAATGTTGCAGCAACGCCCAGCGGAACGTACCCAACAGCTGCCACAAGAATGCAGACATTAAGTGGGTGAACTTAAACTATTTTGGTAAGTTTAGTCCTTAACGAGATATATTGACCACCAGGGAATGTTGCGCTACAAGTGAAAGCGAATTCCAATCCGCTGAAGACATATTAGACAACGTCCTGTCGAGTGCCGGCTGCAAAGAATTTTTCAATTCGGAATCCAATTTTCTAGACACGCATGGGGACCTTCTTCAAGACGACAGTCCACCATCGGCATACTTCAGAAGTACATCAACCACCCCTGCCCATCCCCAGGTATCATCCTCTTGAGGCACGCTTAATTATATCTCACCTGACTCTGCTTTTGCAGCTGCTATCACCAAGTTCGCCACAGGACATAGACCCCGATTTTGTCTCCAACTTGGCCATCGACTTGAGCCTGGACGAAGAGCACAGATCGATTCAGTTCCATCAGAACAAGCAAGAGTCGTCTGTGGATTCGGGCAGCATGTGTAGAACGCCTTCCGATACCACTAAAAATGTCACTTTTAATCCCCAAGTGATCACGGTGGATTCGGCTTGCGAGACTCATTACTCCCCTCCGGTTAGGTGGCGCCTGTTTCGCGGCAAGAGCTCCAAAAAGGCGGAGTTGCCAAAGTTACCGCCGATAACCGCTACGGTTACGTCAGCTGTTCCGATAAAGACGATTTTGTCGACGAAAAACAGAAAAATGGACGAAACCGCCGACCGGCTAGTGAGTGAAGAGTGTTTCTCTAGGACAGAGGCGTTGCCTCTTTTGAGTGGGTTGGGTAGCAGTGCGAGCGAGAGGACGCCATCGCCTAGTTTTGTTCGGAGGAAAAAGTACGTGTATCCTTCGGACGTTGTTGTTATGAACAAGACCACGCCCCACGAGAGTGCCGTTTGAATATTTGAGACGGTTATCGAAAAACTTTGCGCACACAGGGTCGGACAGTAGTTAAAGAAATAATAAAATGGGTTTATTACACAGTTTGACGCCAATAACATTTTATCCGAACGAATCCCGACATTTCCTTCAGGTTGTAATTTGTTTGATGATGAACTAAAAACTTTGTATGTTTATTTTATTTTCAAAATTTTTACTACAACAAAGGCTGTTTGTTATTACTAGAACCACTTTTATCCTCTCTAAATTATAAAAACTTCTATCGCCACGCAGGGCTTCTATTTTTTTTTGGATGTAATGTCATTGGCATCATTTGAGAAGGTGTGAAAATATATTTCGCAGAAAAATAACTTGTTATGTACAGGGTGTTTGGTTTTAACTGCGTTTTGCCTACGTTATTTTTGAACTGAATCGAGACGTTTTTTTTTAATGCATATCCAGAGCTTTCCGTGATTTTTTTATTCCGCTAATTGTCATTATAACCAATTAGCGGCCTTTTTATTTGAAATGCAACATCGTGTTAATCAAAATCCCGCAAAAATCGTAATTTTCAGAATTTGACAAAAAGCGATTTGCAGCGACCTTTCAATTGGTCAAAATAATAGACTAAAAATCACAAAAACCATTCAATCAAGAACGTTTCCCGCCGCCATCTAAAAAATATTAATAAAAAATGAATACTAATTAAGCATTATAGACAAATTTTTTAATTTCTGTGCATAATCGATTCGTTTCAGTTAATAACAAAGTTATACAAGTGCCATAAGAAATGAAAACATTTGAAGAATCTACCTAAATTTGGACACTATACAATGGATTTACCTACCTTAGGCTTGGCAACGAAAGTAGCTTTTCTATATTGTCACTCAACTAAATGTAAGTTCACCTTTTTGTTTCCAAAGGTAATATTTACTAATCTACTTCAAAACACAGCGGAGGAGGACAAAAAGTTATGAATTTGCAAGAAAAAGGTCTGACTGGTATGTTCTTGCATATTCTTCCTTGACGTTTGGTTTGTGGTTTTTGTTTAAATTGTTGGATGGTTTTCGACACCAAAAAAAGAACGACTCTATTATCTTCAAAAGTAGTGGTTTGAATAATCCGTGAACAGATAAAGCAGACATCCAGTACACCGGCGATATCGCAGTCGTATTTGAACGTCCGTTATATTCGATTTTCCATCTCCTTTATTTTTCAAACAAACGATAAAGCTACCTGCTCGCAAAAGCTTTATAGAAAGTCGTATTTTAAGGTTAGGGTCCAAATGAATATTGTACAGGTCCTATTTGAATTGTATGACTCGAACCTTTTGCGATGTATTTATTGAGACCACAGAGTAGATAATTTATTAATAGTTTATATTGTTTTATTCGATTGGGGCCGGGAGGGGGTGGGGGGGCAAATACATTGCGGGGAATTGCAAGAAATAATTTTATTTAAATATACAAGTTTGAAGGACACAGAGGTGTTATACGAACCCTTTATATCGGTTAACAAAATAACGCTTTTGAACATCACAGTACAGTCGTCATTTGCCAGTGACGGATTTAAAGCTATGTTTGATTCTGGGTAATTCTCTTTACTTAAATCTGTCACTGATTATTATTTAACTAACACAACCTTACTAGTTACGTTATTTACAGGTATTAACAGTCGATTTGCCGAAGGATAAGGTACGAAACTGAACCGAAAACAAAGTAACCATCTACGCAATTTTAAAAATATTGCCCGTTACAAATTAGAACGGGTACTTTGGAGGCGGCGCCTTCTAAAGCTCCGTCAATTTTACTTTATGAAATTTTGTTTAACAATTATCATAGTTCTTTTAAATTACACCTAGCTTGAATACAATATGATAGGTAAGGATTTAGAATCCCGATAAATCCTCATTTCGATGTACTACATGTAGACGCTGATACGTTCACACATAGTGCGGTTGCTCCAGAATTACGGGGGAGCTAATAAAATTTTTCACGGAGGCCTAGAACAGAGCCATTTTAGAAAAATACGACATATTTATAATCCTGGGATCAATAACAAACTGTTTGTATGTCTATTCTTCAAACCGTTTTTGATGCTATTGAAAACGAAAATAGCCACGAAGCTTGTGTGTATAGGGTAGGATGATCGTTTCAAAAATTACTAGGAATTTTTTCCGACGGGCCGTTTCTGTAATATACAGGGTGAGTCATGATATACCGCATATATATTGATAACGTCAATGGAGTTATGCAGATTACTCAAAAATACTTTATCCCGAAATCTATGAGTGTTTAAAAAAAAATTGTCACTCAATTACATACAGGGTGGTAACATAAAACTACATTTTTCTAAAATAGAACACTCTATATTTTAGTACATTTTAAAATACAACTTAAAAAGACAAATCCAACCATATATATATAAATATCTATATATATATATATATATATATATATATATATATATATATATATATATATATATATATATATATATATATATATATATACAGGGTTTTTCACTTAAAACTCCGCACGCCAATAAGTCCAAAACGAATTATGTAATTTATGTAAAAAGTAGTCAAAGTGTGGGGTCAAGTAGATATTTCCTAAAGTTTAAAAAATTCGACGCCTGCAAAGAGCTGGGCGTCGAGACGCGTCGAAAAATTATTCGATTGCAGGGACTTTGGAAATACGCGCATACAAAGGTACATATTATTTAAAAACTTTTTTGTTATTTACTCAAACTTATTTACTTTACCCGTTTCTAAGTTATACCGATTTAAAGTAAACATTTCTTGATTAATAAAAAATGTGATTAACGCTTATTTTTACAAGTATGCCATGAATGTTAGTTACTATGGCAACCATTGTTATCGCAGTTGTATTAAGTGCAATTATAAACAATAGATTTCAATTATTTTAGTATGATTTTATTTATTATTTTTTATCGATTTAGTTCTGATAACATGATAAATAAATGAAAAAACCGTAAAATACCTACAAGCTAATAACCAAAATTATTATTGCAATTAACTACATAATAAGACATTTCAAAAATTTTGTTCAAAATTATGTCCATCTGCTCGAACGCAACTATCAAAAACTTTTAACAGATGAGCTTGGGTCACTTGTAGGAGAGTCCTTCTTGTGATAGCGGCACATGCTGCACTAATTTTGTTAATGAGATTAGCCATATCTTCGATAGGTTCTTCATAGATAACGTTTTTTAGGTAGACCCAAAGAAAATAATCTGGTGGTGTAATGTCCGGGGACCTCGCCGGCCACCTTACCGGTCCATTAGTACCAAACCATCTATTGGGATATTCTCGGTTCAAATACCTCATTAGTATTTGGGCATTATGTAAAAATAAGCGTTAATCACATTTTTTATTAATCAAGAAATATTTACTTTAAATCGGTATAACTTAGAAACGGGTAAAGTAAATAAGTTTGAGTAAATAACAAAAAAGTTTTTAAATAATATGTACTTTTGTATGCGCGTATTTCCAAAGTGTCTGCAATCGAATAATTTTTCGACGCGTCGCGACGCCCAGCTCTTTGCCGGCGTCGAATTTTTTAAACTTTAGGAAATATCTACTTGACCCCACACTTTAACTACTTTTTACATAAATTAAATATTTCTTTTCGTTTTGGAGTTATTGGCGTGCGGAGTTTTAAGTGAAAAACCCTGTATATATATATATATATATATATATATATATATATATATATATATATATATATATATATATATATAAATATATATATATATATATATATATATATATATATATATATATATATATATATATATATATATATATATATATATATATATATATATATATATATATATATATATATATATATATATATATATATATATATATATATATATATATATATATATATATATATATATATATATATATATATATATATATATATATATATATATATATATATATATATATATATATATATATATATATATATATATATATATATATATATATATATATATATATATATGATAACACTATATTCCGGGATATCATCCGTTCGCTCGTTGAACTCCGACTGGAATCCTGCATCCGACTGGAATCCTGCAAATCTTGCATCCTACTGGAATCCTGCAGACGTTTCGCCAAAATCTCACTTGGCATCTTCAATGCTCGCGCTCCGAAAACACTTCGAACACATTTTTCCATCCGTGAATCAATACGTGAGAATATATATATATATATATATATATATATATATATATATATATATATATATATATATATATATATATATATATATATATATATATATATATATATATATATATAAGTATTTATATATCGGTCTCTAATGGACCGTTCAGGTTATGTTGGAAAGTTTTTTTTACATTCAATGAAAACATTTTAGAAAATATTACTTTTTCTCAGCAATATTCAAAACTGAAATGTTTCTGTTAAATATGATGTTTCGGAAAACGTTACTTTCCTCAATTTTTGTAAATTAAACACCCCGTATATTTTTGCAATTTCGGATTGCCCTTTAGATTGCACTGTTCCGAAGATCAATGCCGAGGCAAAATTGATTAATTCTGAAAGCGTTTCTAATATTTTTTTTGAAAAATTGCTGATTCTTTATTGAAAAATAAATGAACTAATAAAAATTGTGTCATTTAATCATTTTAATTCAATTAATTTCGATTTAATAAATAAATAAATAAAATAAAAATAAATTACCTGAATCCCGAAAATATTCGCTAATAACGGTGCATTAGAGACAGATATATAGATAGTTAAATATATCCTTGAATTCGTCTTTTAAAGGAGTTTTTTAAAAATGTAATAAAATAATATAACTTTATTTGACCACTCTGTATGTAATTGAGTAATAATTAAAATAATTAAAAAAATTAGATCATGTTACTGGAAACAACAACTTTTAAATCGGCCACCCTTTACAGGGTGATTCATTAATAAATTAAAATATGACCTAAAGAACTCTTGCTATTCACATGTCATTAATGTCTTGTTTTATTTAGATTGTGGCAAAATGGTTCTATTGATTTCGATAAATAGCATTATGCCTTTTTGTTAATACGAATTTAGAAATTTCAATATATACAGTTACTTGTGAATCACGCTGCATGGGATTTCGACGATCGAAGGGTGAAAGATTATTTTTCATTTATTATTATTCTCTTGTTTTATTAATTTTTTATCTTAAGCGTTGTTCGGAGAGCGCCATAACCGTCTTAGTGGTCTAATCACGCGAATAATTATGTTTTGAAACATACCAAATTGATCGGTTGAATTCGGTACCTACCAAACAGTGTTCCTGATTGGGGTAATAATCGATAAAAATAGTATAATGTCAATTTTTGTAATGTAGGTGCGACAGAACACAATTACAAAATATGTACTTATTTTATATGTTTATAACTAGTTATTCGATAATTATTACAGATCATTATTTTATGCTCGCTTCTTGTTGGTGCTTCTTTATATTATCCAGAATGTAATTGTGATAAACAAAGGCTATACTTACAGCAAGTGAAAAGTTACTGACATGAGAAAAACTCGTAAACTTGGTATTGATGTATGGTGTAGACTGTATGTAAGAGTAACATAACGGGACACATTATTTTTACGATGAACACATCTTCTTAAACCTCAAAGAGACGCACAGCTCATCATACTAGAGGTCCTACTGCATATTCCACCAATGCAAATCTATATACGAGGTAAAGCATATAGATTTCTGCAAGGCTAGTCATCAACAGGGAGATGGAGGCAGGCGAAGTCCTAGGGCTGCCCATGGACAGCACGATACCCAAGTGTTGCCTTGTTAAACAATTACAAGACTGAAATATCAGTATGAGAAAATTGTAAAAATGGCGCACCAATAAGAGAAGATACAATCTGGTACCGAAACCAAAGGAATAGGAACTGGAATATATGAACCCAGGACGAAAACAAAAACTTCTATTCCAATGGATAAGTTAGCAACAGCGACAATTGATAATTAGATAACTTCGATCAATACCGACAATCAAGCAATAAAAGCTATGCAATCCAGCAAAATAACGTCCATAACGTTGCAAAATAAGCCATCAGACAATGGATGTTCGCAGCAGACACAAAGAAAGGCCGTAAGAGGGATATAACTAAAAAATAATTTTAGAAAAACAAATTTTTTTGATTTCAATATTGCCTTCCCATCACATTTATTTCCAGTCCTACGAGAAAAAGAAAATCACTTTTTTTATCTATTGGCTGTGTCCACCCTGAAGATTGTGCATTTTTGGAATATTTATAAAAAACGAAACTAGTATTTGTAATTGGTACTCGATCTTAAAACCTCACGAAATGGTTAAAGAAAACTATGCCTATTAACGCAACAATCTATTAATAATATTCCTGAATCAGTAGTTAAGTTCGAACAATTAGAATAAAGGAATGAAAAAATTTAATGCATATTATTTAGTAATTTTACCCTTCGATGGAGTACCATAAAGACAACTCACAATAATTGCCAGTTAGAGTGATTGATTTTAAAGAAAAGACCCTGTATTATTATGATTTAAATCTGATTTTGCTCTCAGAAATTACTATTGACACAAACGATAAGTACTAAATTAACCTATATTAAAAAACGCAGATTTGTCGTTTCAAAGGCACGCCTTTTAATATTTTGAAGACAAGGTATTTTTGTATTATGTGATAGTTTCCTATCATGTTATGTTGCACTGTAACTTTTTTTTTCTTAGTTTCCAATGATTTGAAATTAATTATAATGTGACTTTTTTGGAACAAGATAAAATATGCTACTCAGAAACCCCATACCCTTTTTAATTTCGGCAGTATCCATGAACTTCACTTTCTAATTTCATAAATAGGGTTTCGAATATTCCTAAACCACCCACTTAAATTTCATACTAAACTAAAATTGTTTAACATCGTTTGATTCTTTTATTGTTTAAATTTACTTCGTCTGAAAAGTTGAGGCGTAATTTTGGTGTACAGCCTAAATAAATATTTGGACTAATGCTATCTCTTCATTTTGATAACGAGATGCACGCGCTGCTGCTATCCTGAGCAACTAATGGAAAAAATACATTACCTATAAGAGAAAATGCGCGCAAACCAACAACGCAATGAAAAACGCTTTCTGTTACGGGAAAACCGCGGTTCACAATGTTGGTTTTCCACGAAAACTAAAGCCCCGACCAACTAATCTATTTTGCGCAAGACGTGATATGTATGAGTCACAAAGATTTGTTTGGCGGATCAAAAAAGCGGCAGCTTCGGTCATAATCTGGTGATATTTTTTATTTTCCGTATGTTTTCGAGCCGAAACTCCAGCCAGGCGAACGGTATCACCGCCATTACCATAACAAATGCAAGTATGTAAAGCTTTAGGTAATTGCAGACAAAACTGTGGAATACAAACGCGGCCGACAGTCCTGAGAATTTAAAAAATGCCGTGTTCGCGAACGCCGCTTCCCAATTGTCCGAGTATTGTCCAGTAAGCAACGCTAAAAATAAGTAAAAATATAAGATCACATAGTACTGTATTAGGGAAACAGACGGTCCCACAAATTTGGAAAAAAATATAAGGTAAATCGGCCAACGGAAACTGCTGGTAATTGTTTTCAAGTTTTTGAAATGGCCACCAGAGACCACTTCAAAAAAGTCTGATATAAACCATAGTTAAACTGCAGACACAAATTCAAGTGTCAACGCCTTTTAAATGCCTTTTATTGTGAAATGTGTCGTCAACAAAAGTACATTACAATAAATTTATCACAACTCCGGCGCAGTCTAGCTGAAATATAAAACAGGTAGTAATTACTTAATGTGCCGTATTAAACTGAGATTTCACGAGGGGGATCCATTCAAACCCATCTGGGTTTGAATGGTAGAAAATTAAATTTACTAGAAGCTACGGAGATTCATAAAACGAGAGGTTCGAATGTATTACGTAATGACCAACTGGATATGAATGGATCCCCCTTGTTAAATATCAATTTAATACCTCACATTGAGTAATTACTACCTGTTTTGTATTGATAAACATCGGTACCGTTTGATATTTGCATTTGATAAAGGCACGGTGTTGCCGAAGCAGCTGTCATTTAAATATATTTACCTGAAAATCTGAACAACGTTTGTTCTTATTTAACTATTTTAAATGGATTTTCATCAAGTAAAGTTTTGGTTAGTTTTGGTTTGCAAACGTGGTCTGTATAAAACCATAAATGCAAGAGTTTTGCTTTGAAAATAAAAAAAATTAATAGGATTTAAATTTCACTAATCTGCTATTGGTTAGCTCCATGAAAATCAACGGCACTAGGCAGAAATCGTGATCGTGATTAATGGATCAAAATTTTTTCTTGGTTTCTACTAGTATGCACTTTCATCTAATTTATTCGAGAAATTTTCAACCGGAAGTTGAAAAAAACATGAAACCAAACTAGGTGTAATGTTAAAGTTAATACTCACTGAAACTTATCATCTCCCATATGGCGTTGCACACCCCCCAGGAAGCGGAGATGACGTAGAACAGGGCGGGGTCGTCTTCGATGGGCTTCCACAGAAGCAACACCATTATCAGACACGTTTGGAATGCAAAACCAACGGCTGCAACAGTCGATTAGAATCGAAGTTATGAAGTTATGCAAGTAAAATGTGGGAAGTTTTTTTGTGGAATTAACTCAATCATCTTACTCGATCAACTTACCTACGACGTAGTACCGCCTGATGGTTCGGAGCAGCATGCTCAACGTACAGGCTGCGATTGATTGCAGCAGACCCATCGAGAGGAACACCAGGTTGAGACGATGGATTCCCAAAGTACATACCACGTAGGACTGAAAAGATATAATCTACTCGAGCGTTATGGCAGAGAACAATTATTTGATCTTCCATGATTGCGTTTGCACCCACTAAATCCAAATACCTAACCATTTACTCAAGCTTCCTTCTTGGCATGGACACTTCCAACTAACACTATTAAAAAAAACTTTCGAAATACTGATATTTCAAAGCAGATTTAGTATAAATATGTGTATAATATATAATCTTCCTAGTGTCGGCGGGATTTTTTAGTGCATACAAAACATCGAAATAATGTAGAAGAAAAATATTCTTCCACATTAATCAAGGAAGGATATTTTCTGAGAAGAAGTTGAAGAATATCAAGGATGTAATGAATAACAAACAACGGATTAAAACGAAGAATGAATGTCCAAACAACGATATCAGAAGAAATGAAGAGACGCAGACTCAAATGAAAAGAAATGATTTTAAATTGACCAATGGAAAATAGGAGCAAAAAAGGACGACCTTCACAGGCAAGAGGAATGGAAGAACAAGATTGGATGGGTGGATTGGGAGGAAGCATTTTATTTGCGCACATACGGATACCTTGCTGAAGTCGGCATACATAAAAGCCTGTTCCATGCCAATAAAAAAACACAACGGGGCAGTCATCTGCAACCTCGGGTCTCTGAAGCTGTCTCTCATCGATCTCAAGACGGCCAGCACCACTCCTCGCTCAAGCGGATCCTGGTAGATCTGGGAACATCGAGACTCGTTATTAGGGCGCGGGGGGGGTTTGAGGGGCACTAACCAGCATTCTTATGCTGTCCATTCCGAAAAGGGCGAGTAATAAAGCGATCCCGCACATTCCGGAATATACACCTGCTAGAATATCGGCTGATTTGATGGGCAGCACTCTGAACCCACTTTCCAGAGTACCGTTGCTTAGTGACGGGACTGGACATGCTTGAGCCCCACAGAGGCGACCGTCTTCCGTCCTGTCGAAGATATCGTCCAGGAAAGAGTTGTAATCGTAAGGGATCGTCGTAGATATTAATGCTAATTCGGTCCGGTTCGAGCAAGTTCGATTTGCGACGCAATCCTGAAACGGAGCGGTTTTAAAAGTGTCGGAGAATACGAATCGAGTACTTACGCTTGAAACCGTGGCGTTCTCAAACTCCGAACCGTACGTAGGATGTTCTAGATTTACCGTGTAGGTAATCAAAAGGGCGGATAAGATGGAGCCGATTATTAAACCGAAGTCGTGAGCACCCTAGAAGGAAATACGCTGGTGGCAGAAATCTCGAGCGAGTCGGGTAAAAGCTTTCGTCGAGCTGACGGTGCAATTTGGAAACACGTGTCGCGCGAAAATTCGTTTTAAGTGGCAAACTTTACACCGCCGAAGTTTTTCGTTGTCTACAAAAGGAAGATCGAGTTTTCATCGGGCCTGTATCGGTCAAAGTTTCCCTAATAAATTTCGTTTTAGTTTTGTTTACGGCCGACAAAGTGAGGAAGTTATTTAATTTTCAAGCTGATATTGTGCGTCGATATTATGCAAAGCCCTTTCGGCATATATGGATCTGCCAGGCGTTTAACATATGAGGGCTGTTCGAGGAGTATTGAGCAGCAACAATTTTGATAGTTAAACTTTAACACCGTCGATTTCATTGAGTGCACTTCTCGGCATATGTAGAGCAATATGATTATCTTCCTGATACAGGTTACGAACGCACTGGTTGGCAATGAAATCCCTTAAAAAATTGTATGATAAATATAATGATTCGATTCAAACGTTTTGAATCTATCCCCGTTGGTCGATTTTTTCTATCACGTCTAGATTTTTCATATTTCAAAATTTTGTTTTTTTTTTTCAATTTTTTCATTCGTCAACGTTACAAAATGAGTTTCAGAGAGTTGTAAGAAAAAGGAGGGAAGTGCCGAAGGTGATTTTTATGGTAGTAAATACGCGCATGCGTTGTCGTTTAATTGTTTACCTTTTATATCAAATATTTTGGTAAGTTTTGGATGTGTAGTTTGAGTATTTTTTTTTAAGTAGAGTCAATAAATATAAAATAGAAGTTTGAAAGTTGTTTTAAAATTAATTTTATGTGATTTTAGCTTACAAAATGCCACGGACTTGTAAAAATTTCTCAGATTGTTTTTGCTACATTTGTGGGGAATACATACTAAAAACACAGCGACATGTCATGACCGATCTGGTTAAAACAGCTTATTAGCTATATTTTGGATTTTCTATCGATGATCGAGATAAAAGTTGGTTGCCAAAAGTATGCTGCAATAGCTGCTCAAGAACGTTGAGAGGTTGGCTTGAAGAAAGTCACAAATCCATGCCGTTTTCAATGCCAATGATTTGGAGTGAGCCTCAAAATCATGAGAGTGATTGTTATTTCTGCATGACATCTACACGAGGATTTTCGAAAAAAAAAATAGAGATAAGATTGTTTATCCGAACGTCCTATCTGCAAAGAGACCAATTCCTCGTGATAAAGACACTCCACCTCCAGTTCCACCAGTTATAAAAATATTTCAGGTCTACAATCTCAATCGAGTTTTCTTTTTGATAGTACATCTTCATCTTCATACACTTTATCTGGATCTTCATGTCCATCTACAGAACCGCATTTACTTGAACAAGGCGACTTAAATGATCTTGTTAGAGACTTGGGACTTTTAAAATCTAAGGCATAGTTAAGGTTAAAACAGTGGAATCTATTGGTTAAAAGTACCAGAGTTTCATATTTTCGTACGAGGCAAGAAAGTTTTACAAGTTACTTGTCCAAAGAGATGATTTGGTATATTGTAATGATGCTGCAGGGCTTCTTCAAGAACTAAGTTTTCCAGAAGATTCTAGTGAATGGAGACTTTTTATTGATGCTTTAAAAATAAGCTTGAAAGCCGTTCTACTTCATAATGGTAATAAATACGCATCTGTCCCCATTGCACATGCTACAAACATGAAAGAAAATTATGCAAACCTTGAGGTATTACTTGAGAAAATTAAATATTCTCAATTCCTATGGAATATTTGTGCTGATTTAAAAGTTGTCGCTATACTGACTGGACTACGAGGAGGATACACAAAATTTTGCTGTTTTCTTTGTGAGTGGGATAGCCGCGCAAGAGACAAACATTACAAAGTAAAAACCTGGCCATCAAGAAAAAGTTTGACTCCTGGACTTAAAAAACCGTCAGTGCCATGCGAGAAAATTTTTCTGCCACCCCTTCTCCCCTTCAGTTGGGGCTCATAAAAAACTTTGTGAAAGCTATGAATAAAGATGGTGCAGGTTTTCAATACTGAAAAACAAAATTTCCTCGAATCAGTGACGCGAAATTGAAGGAAGGAATTTTTGTAGGTCCGCAGATACGTGAGCTCATGAAGAATGAGGTTTTTGATTCGAAGTTGAGCAAAGCGGAAAAAGGGCTTGGGTAGCGTTTGTGGAGGTGTGTCATAATTTTCTTGGGAGCGCAAAAAGTGACAATTATTAACAAATCATTCGGGAGATTATAAAACTTTAGGATGCAATATGTCACTCAAGATCCATTTTTTTGACTCGCATTTAGATTTCTTTCCTGAAAATCTTGGAGCTGTATCAGATAAGCATGGTGAAAGGTTTCATCAGGATATAATGTAAATTGAAAAACGCTACACTGGAAAATTGTCAGCAGCAATGCTTGCCGATTTCTGTTGGTCAATTCACCGAGAAACTCCAATGGAATCTGTGAAGAAGAAGAAAACTATTAAATAATTTGAATTCTTCTATCACTCCATAATGAAATAACTGACGATATTTATTAGATTTGTTAATATAATTTATTATTTTTTACTGTAAAACTCAAGCCGCCTCATTTTTTTATTTCCTTATAATAATTTATGCTTTAATAATATCGTTTTTTGATGAAATAAATATTAAATTAAAAACCTCAGATTCGGTGTTTAGAGCATAAAATAAGATGAATTCATGTATGAAAACAAGAAGGAGAGAAAAAAAATTTTTTTTGCAGACCAGTGTTATCATCTCTATGAGTGCTGTACACGTACTTTTCAAAAGCCACACTGTACTGCTCTCTAAACTGAGGATGGTTGGACTTTGTGATGATCTTGTAGCATTTATAAAGTCATATCTGCATAACAGAATACAGTATATGGAGCACCGCGGTCACTTATCGTTTAGGCTCGTAGTTTGTAGCGGCGTTCCCCAGGGTAGCAATTTGGCGCCATCGATATTCTTGCTTTTCGTTAATAATATCGTTGCTAACATTGATAGTCAAATTTAGCTCTTTGCTGATGATGTGGAATTGCTTAGAATGATTGATAGTGTGGTCGACTGTGTGTCTTTGCAGAATGATATTATTGGTTCTTGGTGTGCTTCTAATAACCTACCCTAGAATAAGTGCACTCAAAATGCTGGGGTTCAGAGTGAGAAATTCCAGAATTTTGAAAGGGAACGTACTTTAAAACTGTTATACTATAGTCATGTTCGCTTGAAACTAGAGAACGGTTCAACAGTGAGGCCGCCAATATTTGGTAAGTACATTACTCAAATTGAAAATTTGCAGAGAAAGTTTCTTCAGTTTCTTCTCTTCCATGTAAATGGTTTCTATCCAGCTAGGGGACTGCCACAGAGTACACTTGTTTAATGGGTGCTAATGTTGAAGCTTCCCTCACTGTTGAATCATAGGAGGTACCTTTCATTTCAGTTTTTATATAAACTTTGCAATTCATTAGTGGATTGCCCTGAGTTGCTGACGAAGGACTGTAAGGGCATCACCTTGTATTTCACTTAATAACTAGAACTAATTTTTTCGTTAAAGGTCCTGTCTATCAATTGATGAAATTATTTAATGACTTCTGTAATAATATTGACTTTTTTTTGCCTTAGTCGCTCACATTAAATTTGAAATACTATAATGGATTGTATGTTTTACTATTTCTTTGCTGGAGTGGACTACTTATTATAGTTAGAGTTATAGTTCATAGTCTTCTAATGTTAATCCCCAAAAGCACCGAACGGAGATACTGCAACTAATCTTGATTGATTAATGATTATAACTGCATCCTTAAAATATACTTAAAATTCACTCCGCACCTGCATAGATTATTCAAGTAAAAATTTCTTAATTTTCAAGGTAAGAGTAAATGATTTTTTTAGCCAGTCTGCTTTATTTATCCTAGAAGTTGTCTTTCTCAGTATTGAACTTTTGTTTATTCTAGTCTGAAGTGAAATTATCACATATTGAATGTGAGCACATGTGACCTGATAGTCTTTTTCTTATATTATATATTTCTTATATATCATATATATATATATATATATATATATATATATATATATATATATATATATATATATATATATATATATATATATATATATATATATATATATATATATATATATATATATATATATATATATATATATATATATATATATATATATATATATATATATATATATATATATATATATATATATATATATATATATATATATATATATATATATATATATATATATATATATATATATATATATATATATATATATATATATATATATATATATATATGGGGTTTGTTACAGCTCGCGCCGTTTTCCCTCTCTCAACCAGACTCTCCACTCATCTTTGTCATTCCAATCTCCGTCCTCCAACCCCCTTTCCTCCATGGCTTCATCTATTTCATCCCTCCACGATCTTCTGGGTCTTCCTCTCTTTCTACGTCCCATAGGGCTCCACTCTGTGATTTTCTTTATCCACCGTCTATCGTCACTTCATCTGACATGACCATACCATTTAAGCTGTTTTTCTGCTATTGTAGTTAATAAGTCTTTTTCTACATTCATTTGCCTCTTGATTTCTGCGTTACGTATTCTATCCATGCGTGTTCGTTGGCAACACCTTCTCCAATATTCCATTTCGACGGCGGTTACTTTAGATTTGTTCTTTTTGTTCAATAGCCAGGTTTCTGCTCCGTATGTAATTATACTTTCTACTATTGTCTTAAATATTGTTGTTTTTGTTTTCTTTGTTAATTTCTTGTTCCATATAATGGAGTTCAGTTGTTTTATACATGTTCTACCCTGACCTAGTCTAGATTTGATTTCTTCTTCTGTTGATCCATCTTTTGTTATTATACACCCTAAGTATTTAAATTTGTCTGTTTCTTTTACGGTTGTGTTTTCATCTATTTCTAAATCTTCGATTTCCCCTTCTTTTGTTGTTAGATATTCTGTCTTTTCGAAGTTTATTTCCAAACCTACCTTCTCATATTCCTCTTTCAGCTTTCTGAGCATGTAACTCAAGTCGTCTTCATCCTGGGCTATGACCATCTGGTCGTCGGCAAAGCTTAGGGTGTATAAGTGGTCGTCGCGTACTGGGACTCCCATACCTTGACATTTTCTTTTCCATTGTGTTAGCGTCCTCTCAAGATAGATTTTAAACAACGTTGTTGATGTAGGGCATCCTTGTAGTAGGCCCTTTGATGTTGTGAATCGATTTGTGTACCTATTACCTATTTTAACCGACATATCATATATTTCTTAATACTGATATAGATAGAACTAAGAAAATTAAGTGTGAACGTGTGAAAGTGAAAATACGAGCATATATCAGTTCATAAATCCAAAATAAAAATCATTATTTAAAACACACTATGTTTTTCAAATGAATAAAATTGAAGAACTCCTGTAGCCAAAGAAACGAAAGATAACTAACACGACAAGATTATTTAAAATAGAAAAAAATAAACGTACCACAAATCTCTAGGCAAAGTGGATCACAATATCTGTTTTAATAAAAATGTTGATATCCTGTATCTCTAAATCATAGCAATTAAATGAATGAATGAATGAATTAAATAAAATTAAATAAACTAAAGAAGAATATAATAACTCCAAAATTTAAAAAGAAAACTATGTCAGCTCTCACAAATGATCCAAAGGGCATGAAAAAGACCATCTGGTGGCTGAAATAAATGAGTGGAATACATAGCTGGTAATTATATTATCAGTATGGGACGAAAAATCAAATTTAGAAGTGGACAACTATTAGTGTGATAAATACAGTTATTTAAAACTTTGGTCTCATGTAATTTCATTACTTGGTACTTCGACACACTGCGTTCCATGCCTACTTTATAGAGTAAAACCCCAACTGCAGTGCAAGACGATCATAAAACTTTTAAAATGTTATTTCAATATGATCTTCTCAGCCCTTGAACTTTGCACTATTTCTCTAAGGCGACGATATCTGGGTTAGCGTGAAAGTATGTAAGCAAAATTCGCAAAACACGTCTGTTCACTTTCAACCACTCTGCTTTCCGCCTAAACTCCCCGTTCATTAAAAGCGTTCCTCTTTTCAGACATTCCATATAAACCCAAACGTAAAACTATTAAACAAACTACAAATTACTTGGAAGGCCCTCGCGACCCGTCTAATGGCGCAGGTCTTCCTGGCGTGTCTGCCGTCCCCGTCGTCCTCGTGAAATAACCCGGTTATCCTGTGGGATATGATCATGAGCGACGAGATTTGGACGCACGAGAGTAAACCCAAGGTTACGCCCATTAGCACGCCCGTCGGCACAGTGACGTAAATCACGGGGTAGAGGTGGGACGCGAAAAAAGTCGTCGCGGACGCTGCAATAATCGTAAAACGTACTAATTTACAAAATGAATTTCCAAAATTCCCCGCGGCGTACCGTAACAGAACGCGGCTACGCACTTGGTGCCGGCCATTTTCACGAAACATGGCGCGAACAGTGCGAAAACGGCCGCCACCGCGAATATTTCCGACATCAGCAGCGAGCCGGTGTTTATCTCGAAAGTGGCAGTGGTCAGAGATTGCACCCACACGGAGACGCTGCTCTGAAGGGCCAAAAACGGCAGGAACGTCGCGGTCGTCAGTAGGTGGCAGATACAGATCACCACCAGGTTGGCCAGCAGGATGCGACGCGTATAGAGCACACCGGTTGCCCTGCCTGTCAATCGAAAGCTGTTGTTACGTTCATACTTTGAAACTCAACTAGGACAACTCGTTAATTAAGAAAAGTTATTTAGAAAAGCAAGTCCATTGTCAAGTCAAAGTCTGAGACGCTTTTTACACATTTTAACACCCAAATTCAAGCTCATAATCAAATCACAAGAAGGAAACAGTCTCAGTCGTCAAGTACTAGAAGCTCTGGTACGAGTTCTGGCAGGTCACTTCCATCTAGGAACGCACCCCCGTATTATGTAGCCGGCAATAGCACATGTGGACTGTGTAAAGAAGGAAAGCTCCAATTCACCTGATTCAGAGTACTCAACTGTACTAAACTATCCAAACTAGCCCAGAAAGAAGTCCTGTACTTACTCGGGTTTGGCACTTATGCTTTCTTTTAACTGAAGAGGCGCGATAAATCAATAATCAAATCAAAGAACAATATAAACTGGGAAACGTCTCCGTCAAAGCTTCGCCGCTGGAATTTATGGGTATCTGTTGGTAGATAGCAATCTGGTTTGGTTAGTTTCAGATCTGTGGAAAGGTGCTAGAAAAAGCACAACATAACATTAAATTCACTGCACTGCTCCTCTAAGGCCGGAAAAAGTTGCTAGCAAAAGCTAAGCAAAATAAGGAAAAAGTCTATCTGAAAGCGAGAATCAAAATGAAGCAACGCTTATTGGTTATACCTGGACGTGGTTTTTTAGAACTTTATGGAATTGTGAGCGTTGTAACAGACAGTGATAGAAATGTATGTGCGGAAAACCTAGAAACTAAAATATTCCTTGTTTATATTTGATAGGGTTTTCGGTCGTTATTATTTGATATGCTGATATGAAATTTTACTGGGGAAAAATACAGAATGTATGCGTCAAAATAAGACTATTAACTTTTCTCCATACAATAGTTGTCACATCTAACATCTTGTGTAAAATAAATGCGCTAAACATGTTCTGTATAAACACAGATTTTCATCCAAAAAATCGGTAGGGGTAAAAAATGGGTAAGTGTTATTATTTTTTTATTAATTTGGAATACTTATGAAACTAATATTAGGAATTATATTATACCGGTAGAAGAATTGTGCGCACCCCCTCGCACCACCGCCAAAAGCCTCCTGACCGATGTCGCCCCAATCGAACTAGCCATAGAGTCTATCCGTTTAATAGGCCCCCCTTGCATATGGATGTTATACCTGGATCTGGCCGAAACTGGCGAATAAGTAGCCATATGCTGCAACAGATCCTCAAATAAGGGATCGGCCATGAAGACCTGGCGGTTTTACCTCCATCGTTAGGTCGTCATAAACTATCTTATTCGAGTCGTGCGGGTTGCTTCGTGCCTTGGTGATTTTGCCGTGGCCCGAGTATCTGTGCAATATTTTGGACTTCTCTTCGTTGCTGAGACCAGCGTTGCAGCCGCCGCAAAGGTGACCAAGTGCCGGTCCCGGTCTATAACCGCCTACACAAAACCCTATGAGACCAGACAAGTCACTCCCAAAATGGCTGAAAACCGGCACCCAACACAAACAAAAGGCCTTACTATGTTGACAATAGAAATGCAGTAAGTAAGGAAGTTCCATTCGATCTATATTATACCAGATGGTCGGTGGGAAGTTTACAGTGAACCGAAAAAAGAATCTTTGAAAAGTGTGTATCCTTGTTGTTTTTTTAAGTTTTCGTTTTGGTCTGCTGATTTATTTAAAGGCGGCTATGGCCTAAGCTAAGCTCAACCCGTCTTTGATGTTATCTAACTCATCGTCATCGTACGTATCGGTTCAGCAATGCTCTTTCTGCTTTGCTTTTTTTCCATAAAAATCTATTGTATTATATTATAGAAATTTCCGTTAATTTTTTATAGATTGTATCCAAACGTCTACAAATAAAATGAAGAATGACGTCTTCGATATGTGGTAGGAAGGAGAGAGGGCATCACTATCCAAAAAATATTTTTTTCTCCAAAATATGACATAACTAAAACTTAAACGTAACAGCCCTGTAAATCATCATCCTTCAAAAAACATATGAACCTAAAAATCTCTGGATGGGCAGCATAAAAAGAAGCAAATAATTCATAGTACAGCAGTACAAGAAGCCCACATATGTGAAAGAAAAGTTGCAGTTGATTTTGGAGAATTACAGAATACAGGTCGTCCACAAAACAGTCTGCTGCATCCTTGCTCTCTAAAAACAATCTAAATGTCCATTTAAGCCACTGACAGACCTGATAAACCCTTTTTATTTTCCTGCCTCAAGCTCGTATTAAACGAAATCGATATCCGGTAATAGAAATTTGTGGCAATACTTTCTTAATACTAACATGAATCGATGGGTCAAAATCACAAACATTTTTTTTTGCGTCGAAACACAAATTGATACCACTACAATAACTATGCCTATTTTCTATTGTATGTATAACTGCATTAAATAGTTAGAAAAATAATCGAATGTATCATCGACATGACTTTTAGTTTGACATAAAAAATAGTATGGCATTCATAACAGTCCAATATCTTCCAGTGATTCGTGGTAATGTAGACAGCATTCTTCTCTATCGGTAGACACTTTTTCTCATGTTACCAATGTCTTTTGCTGTTAAATTATCCGTTTGACATTGACATTTGACAATACAATAATACACATTTGACATTGACATTTGACAATACAATAATACACAAAAATGATCAAAACCTCATTTTCCAGAGTATTATTTAAAGCTTTAAAAAGAAAACTTTCCCTAAAATTACGTCAAATAGTATATTCAAGTAGTATGGTTTTATGAATAATTGCGACAATTCAAAAAATCATATTATATTCTTATTTGTATCAGTTCGCCATGGAAAGCAATGCTATTTAACAATAAGTACACAAAAATTACGCGCTTAGTGTTGTCTTTATATGAATTGTATCTCAACGTTTCGGATGGTTGTGTATCTCCAAGCGTTCTCAAGGCAGTAGTCATTATTCAATCTCAAACCTCAGTTATTCCGGTGGATCACAATGAATGATTTTAGATTCATGATAAATATTCATGATATATATATATATATATATATATATATATATATATATATATATATATGATGACACTATATTCCGGGATATCATCCGTTCGCTCGTTGAACTCCGACTGGAATCCTGCATCCGACTGGAATCCTGCAAATCTTGCATCCGACTGGAATCCTGCAGACGTTTCGCCAAAATCTCACTTGGCATCTTCAATGCTCGCGCTCCGAAAACACTTCGAACACTGTTTTCGGAGCGCGAGCATTGAAGATGCCAAGTGAGATTTTGGCGAAACGTCTGCAGGATTCCAGTCGGATGCAAGATTTGCAGGATTCCAGTCGGATGCAGGATTCCAGTCGGAGTTCAACGAGCGAACGGATGATATCCCGGAATATAGTGTCATCACATTTTTCCATCCGTGAATCAATACGTGAGAATATATATATATATATATATATATATATATATATATATATATATATATATATATATATAAGTATTGGTAGCATCAAATTTTGGAGAAAAAAATAGAAAACAAATAATATTACGAAATAATGAAAAAAAAGTAAGGAAGCTTATTTATAAACTCTCGCTGTATGTATCGGTGGCGCAGACGATAACAACAAATTTATTAGTGTATGCGTTAACGCATCCGGCTCGCAGGACCAAATTGTGACTCACTCTGTTCCCCGTCGTCGATGTTTTTACCCAGCTCGTGCAAATTCGGAAGGCTGCCCATACTTCAGGAATGGCGAACGTATGTTTCATCACACAGGGCTTCGGTGGCGTTGGGGATTAGACACGGTTTTTTCCGTCGGGCATCGTACGGGCGTCTGAAAAAAAATGGGTGGTTTATTATTAATGGTCGTTTCCGATGAATATTCATAGCAATGTTCGGAGGGTGCGAGTCGGCGTAGCAAACAAAGCGGTGGATATTTTGATCGAGGGTCGAATGTTAATATGAAACGGATTCAGTTTATACATCAAGCTGGTTAAACATGGGTTGACGTCAATGGAGTCGCCGCCCAAAGGCATATTAACGATTAGGAGTGGGATTCAAATTTGAACGAAAAAATACGTACCCCCAAAAATCATTAAAAAATCGGAAATTTCAGATTTCTTTCGCATCTATTTAAAAAAAAATAGAAAAACACAGAATTTGTAAAAAAGCCACTATGAGCAGAATATTGATTTACTCTAGATGGCACCATTTTTGATATTTACGGTACCATTTGCTAAATGTTTGCGATTTTGCCGCTGCATTTTCTCAAATTCAGCAATTATTGCAATATTTTATTGATATTCCATAAAACTATAGTTGTTTTCTCTTAAAATTGCATGCTTTGTACGCGCAAAACGATTTAAAGAAAAAAATCTTCTGAATTTCGTTTTGCCAATTCACCCTGTTGACTTGTTCAGAGCTACGTCTTACCTAACTAACCAAAACTAGTTCTGTTAAATTTTCTATTATTAAAATTTATTATTAAATCTGTAAATAAGAAACATTTTTAAAATTGTTTTTCAAGGCGCATTTTTTCCTTCCACCCTAATTATGTTAATCAGTAAAATTTCCAGCCTAAGGAGTTTGTTTCAATGGTCAATTACTTTTCCGAAAATACATTGGTAAGATGGGTAAGAAATTATTACACTTTGGTGTGTCAAGTTGCCCTAAAAAAATCCAGTCAAAAAAAGAGTGTATAAATATCATTTTTTCTAACTTCAGATTCCATAAATGCACAGCAAAAATCGATTTATTTGGTATTGCTCGCAAACAACATAAATTTCAATTCATTTTTCCATACTTTTTAAAGAAATTTAAAAAAAAAACCCTCTCAATTCAGTAATGAACCTTACCGCTTTGAGAACGATGTGCAAATCTCGGAAAACTGTGATTCAAGGTTGGAACGAACTCAAAATTGGTATGTCAGGAATTGCTGGGTGTGTTTCTTCTCACCATACATTAGATATATAAAAGTTAATTAATAGTATTCTGCCTACGCGCGAGATTTATATGTTTTTTAGTTACTTTATAGTTTGGTCGTAATATTCGAGTCTGTAATTAAACGCGTCGTTTTCAAACAAGAGAGCGCTATAAACGTATACCGATTTTCCCGGTTTCGCTCTATTTTTTAAATTTAATTTACGCAGCCTCTCGCGTATATTAAATATTGCTCTTTTCGGCTTTAACTTTCGAAAACAATTCATTACAATTGGCTGTCGCTACGGGCTTTACTGAATTATTTTCAAAACAGGTTTTCTGATTTTAATTCTATTTTGCACTAAAAATTGACTTTGTGCATTTTAATATGTTTACAAAACTGAACATTTAACATATAGCGGGAAATGTCCAATAAAAAACTGCGTTGAATCGAGGTTATTATTAGACAGTAATTGTTATTTTTACCGTACAATCTTTTTAACGATATTTCTGCCACAAAGGCACTTAAAATTGTTATTTTTGATAGCCTCCAGTAAATAACATCATAAATAATGTGACTTGACAGCACTATACATTTTTGTTCGATATTTCTTTTATGAGAATCATTAAAAAGTGTGGAAATACCATTTCTTGGAACTTTTGAATAAAAACACTTTTAAAAGCTTGAGTTCGAAAAATACTAAATAATTCAGAAACTCACTCTATATGGTCGTAGAAGTTTAGTGCTTAGATATTTATATTGCGCTACTTCAATTTGTTAATTCATATTTTTACTGTAAATTATGTCACAAAGTTATCAGCTATCTGCCAATCAATACTTATATATAAGGTTGTTCGGAAAGTCATTTCGTTTTTTCCCGTCAGAGGACTTAATTACGTTTTTTCGAAACCAACTTCACATTTAAGCCGCATAACCATTATATGTCTTGAGAGCTGATCTTGCAAGGCTTGTGTGAAAAAGTTCTATTAATTCTACGCAGTAGTTTTTGGTTGGTGCCCTTTTAAATATGGAGAGCATATTTTACTTTTTTACTTCAGAAAAGGTAAAAATGCTGTCCAAGAGAGAAAAAAATTGACGGATGTGTATGGAGAAGGCGTGTTAACAGTACGCCAGTGCCAGAACTGGTTTGCAAAATTTCGATCCGGCAATTTTGATGTCGAAGATGCACCACGGTCTGGAAGGCCGGTCGAAGCTGACAAAGATGCGATAAAGGCATTAGTTGATGCAAATCGGCGAATAACCACACGAGAGATCGGTGAGAGATTAAATTTGTCGAATTCGACTGTTTATGGCCATTTGAAAGGCATGGGCTTAACCTCGAAGCTCGATGTGTGGCTGCCCCATGTCCTTACGGAGCGAAATTTGTGTCGTCGCGTTGACGTGTGTGATTCGCTCCTCAAACATCAAGAAAATGATCCATTTTTGAAGCGGATTATTACTGGGGACGAAAAATGGGTTGTATACAACAATGTTAAACGCAAGAGGTCATGGAGCAGAAAAGATGAACCGGCTCAAAGCGTGTCAAAAGCCAACATTCACCAAAAAAAGGTGATGCTCTCCGTTTGGTGGGATGTCAAAGGAATCGTTTTTTTTTGAGCTTTTGCGGGACAATACAACGATTAATTCAGAAGTCTATTGTCATCAACTGGACAAATTGAATGATTCACTTAAAGAGAAGAGGCCCGAATTAATCAACAGGAAGGGTGTAGTGTTCCACCAGGATAATGCGAGACCTCACACAAGTTTGGTCACTCGCCAAAAACTTTTACAGCTTGAATGGGACGTACTGCAACATCCACCATATTCTCCAGATCTGGCGCCTTCCGACTACTATTTGTTCCGGTCCCTGCAAAATTTTTTGGATGGCAAAACCTTTACCTCAAATGAAGATGTCAAAAACCACCTGAACCAGTTTTTTGCCAGCAAGGACCAAAACTTTTATGAGAGGGGAATTATGTTACTGCCAGAAAGATGGCAAAAGGTGTTGGACCAGAATGACCAATATATAATTTAATAAAATATATATTCATTATACGAAAACTGTCTTTCATGTTCCCCAAAAAAAAACGAAATGACTTTCCGAACAACCCAATAATAACACTGGTCTGAAAAAAAATAATTTTTTTTTCTCTCCTTCTTGTTTTCATGCATGAATTCATCTTATTTTATGCTCTAAACACGGAATCTGATATACAAATAAGTACCACACGTAGGTTTTTAATTTAATATTTATTTCATCAAAAAACAATATTATTAAAGTATAAATTATTGTAAGGAAATAAAAAAAAGGGGCGGCTTGAGTTTTACAGTAAAAAATCCTAAATTATATTAACAAAACCCGATTGAGATTGTAGACCTGAAATATTTTTATTTTCAGCCTCCTCATTAGCTGGTGGAACTGGAGGTGGAATGTCTTTACCACGAGGAATTGGTCTCTTTGCAGATAGGACGTTCGGATAAACAATCTTATCTCTATTATTTTTCGAGAATCCTCGTGTAGATGTCATGCCGAAATAACAATTATTCTCATGATTTTGAGGCTCACTCCAAATCATCGGCATTGAAAACGGCGTGGATTTGTGACTTTCTTCAAGCCAACCTCTCAACGTTCTTGAGCAGCTATTGCAGCATACTTTTGGCAACCAACTTTTATCTCGCTCATCGATAGAAAATCCAAAATATGGCTAATAAGCTGTTTTAACCAGATCGGTCATGACATGTCGCTGTGTTTTTAGTATGTATTCCCCACAAATGTAGAAAAGCAATCTGAGGAATTTTTACAAGTCCGTGGCATTTTGTAACCTAAAATCACATAAAATTAATTTTAAAACAACTTTCAAACTTATATTTTATATTTTTTGGCTCTACTTAAAAAAAATACTCAAACTACACATCAAATACTTAAATCCAATTTAGAGAACATGAACTTTATGCAAAACTTACCAAAATATTTGATATAAAAGGTAAACAATTGAACGACAAGTTTTCACTGAACTGTTGTAGCGTCACAATGAATACTGCGCATGCGCGTATTGACTACCATAAAGATCACCTTCGGCACTTCCCTTCTTTCTCTTACAACTCTCTGAAACTCATTTTGTATGTATATTTACTTTTTGTAACGTTGACGAATGAAAAAATTGAAAAAACAAACAAAATTTTGAAATATAAAAAAAAATCATATCGAGGATTTCATTGCCAACCAGTGTAATTTTAGGAACGGATGTAAACACACTAAAGTCGCATTTTCGACTACTGAGTTGAACGAATAAAAATGAGCATAATTTGGATTGAGTACACTCGAAATGAAAAAAAAAACAGAGCAGGTAGTCCATTCTGCGAGTATGTGCTTTTCCCACTTTTGCTGTGCAAAACGAATTCTTCATGTTCTCGGAGATAAAATGTAGAAAGCAGAGTTCATTTTGACCACGGCAGAGTTCTAGTGAATTCACAATCCGGAAACTAGTACAAACGAAGAACAACTATGTTTGATGTTAACTTTAAAGCAGCTTACGTTTACAAAATGAAAATTTATAGATATGTTAGTGGTCTGAGTTTTCAAACAGGAGAAGGGGAAGATATTGATTTTCACCAAACCCAGGAATTTAAAGTTACGACGAGAGTTGTCGATAAGTGAATGGAAAAAAAGTGTCGATGATGGATAACATTGTTTCAGAATCCTGCGCCTATAATAGACACATTAGATATGAACGATTGTTCTCACATTGAAATAACAAAAGCATCGTATTGATATTTTTTATTCATATAAATTGAAACCATAAACATACTCAGAGTTTAAGATTGGTATTATTCGCACAACCCAAGCTACCTTCAGTTCCAATTTTTTAGTGATCTAGGTTGATTGTCCATAGCCTAGGTGCCCAAATTGATTA